CTTAGACTGAAATGTGAGAGCTGGATTGACTCATGCTATACTTCTACCTATGTCCCTTGACCTCCCAGAGCTTCCTGAACTCTGGTCTTCCAAGTGTTTTGGACTTCAGCTCCCAGAATCCCCAATCATTACCCAAAGCATCCAAGACTTCTGAGAGTTAAAGTCCAAAATACCTGGTGGATCAGAGTTTGGGAATCAATGTACCATCCTCCTTTGTTTCCCAAATTTAAATTTCACCAAGCTCCATCTAGTTCAGTACACAATTACCCCAGGGCGCTTCCAGACAGGCCCTATATCCCAAGATCTGATCCCAGATTTTCTGCTTTAAACTGGATTATATGAATCCGCACTGCCAAATAACCTGGGATAAACGAAAACCTGGGATCAGATCCTGGGGTTTAGGGCCTTGTCTGGAAGGGCCCTTGGTGGCTAAGAGTTGCATACATTTATTTATCTGTGTAGGCGATTTTTATCCTGCCTTTCCCCATACAAGGGCCCAAGGCTGCTAACAGCATTTATAAAATACACACAAGCATTACAACAATACATAATAAAACCAAATATTAAACAGTGCTTAAAAACATTACATGCTTCTTTCTGCACTCTGTTTGGCCCTTCCTCTGTCTTGCTGAATGGGGTCTATACTCCAACACCTTGAAGGCTAACAATGGCTGGAGAGCTGAAGTCGAACCGCTAGAATACTGTTGGAAATGACTACCTTCTTCAAGTCTTCTCTAGTAATGTTTTACCTATGATACTGTTGCTTGTTTTTTCCTATATGTATGTTCTGGTATTCAGCTTCCTTTACTCTATGGTTTTTGAGAAGTTATAAAAGGGACAGCAGCCCACATGATCACTATAGCAGACTACAGCAGACTGCAGACTACTTCAGACTTCAGATCACACACTTACTTGCCGTTTTTGCTGTAAGACACATCCTGGCCGGATGGCTCAGATAATGATCTCAAACATATCTGAAACTGGACTGATAGGTTGTGTACCTATGTATGCTGAACACATGAAGGTTGTGAGTAAACAAATATGTTATTTTTAACAAAGTCTGTTTCATTTTTGTTCCTTGAATGCATGGTAGAAAACAAATTGTTTTATGGGAAAGTATTGGGCACTGAAAAACACTTCTAATGCTCTGCTGTTTTTACGCACTGGCAAATATCTTGTTTTCCTAGCAGATCAGAGATAACTGGTTGTTCAGTCTAACAACTGAAATAATTGCTTTGCATAATTATATCTGGTTGCATACCACAAGAAAATATTCCACTCTAAAGAGGTTTTGGGTCTTCTCTGAAAGGTCATGCTTTTCTAAAAATTATGATCTCCAAATGGTGTTTTCCAAAAGGTTATGAATGCCATTTTCCAAAATGAACAGCGTGACTACTATGAAGACTATGATGATACCACTTTCCATCAAAGCTCACAGCTATGCAATCGCAGGACTTGTTTGGTGAAACACCAACACTCTTTAGCAGAGAAGCCTTAAGGCCTTGTAAAACCATAACTCCCACATTTCCATAACACTGAATCATGGTGGTTCAAGTCATGACAAGATGAATTTATTCTGCAATGTAGATGCACCCTTGGTGAACCATTTGTTCCCTAGAGTCTGACCATTTCATGGGAGCTCAGCCTAGACAGCATATTATGGTTTGAGCATTGGGTTGTGACTCTGGGAAAACCAGCATTTGAATCAGCCATGGAAACCCTCCTAGGAGCGACTTGAGAAACTGCCAGTGTGAGAAATCTGGGTGTCCTCTAGAGAACTGGGGGTCTGCAAGGACGTTGTTCAGAGTACGCCCGGATGTTTTACCATTCTTTGGAAGGCTTCTCTCATGTCCCCACATGAGGAGCTGACAGATGGGAGCTCACCCCGCTCCCCACATTTGAACCGCCAATCTTTCGGTCAGCAGTCCTGCCGGCACAAGGGTTTAACCCACTGCACCACTGGGAGCTCCTACCTCCTGGGTGCTCTTGGGCAAGTCACACTTTCTCAACCTCTGGACAAATAATGCCAAGAAAACCCTTTAGGGTCAGAAAGAATTTGAATAATAATAATATAGGAGCCTCTCACAGGATGGTAAAACATCCATGTGCCCACTAGGAAACGTCCTTGCAGATGGCCAAGTCTCTCACACCAGAAGTGACTTGGAGTTTCTCAAGTCACTCCTGACATGAAATAATAATAATAATAATATTATTAATAATAATAATAATAATAATAATAATAAATACTTTATTTATAACCAAATCTCGGGAGCCAGTTTGGTCACCTTCCATCTTGACCAAGGCAGAATAGAGGAGCACCATTATTGACACTGACCTAGAGCTAGTCCTGGGCCAACCTGGGTCCTCCCTCCTGGTGTTTGGACTCCAACTCCCACAATCTCCCTGAGGAGACTCAGGGCCGTTTCCAGCAAAAATGGCATTTGATGCCAATAAGAACAAATAACCAAAACAGCGGGTAATATAATGTCGGTATAAAATGATAAAACTAACCAAAAAAATAACCAAAAATTAAACTTAAATAAACATAACAGATCATAAACATTTACACCATGAGTCCCTCCGGGGAGGAGAGAATACAAATAAAATATTATTAACTCTTAGAGGACAAAACAATTAGACTTAAAAGGCATTAAAAGCTAAGATGGTGTAGAAGTGGTTCTCAACCTGGTGTCCCCAGTTTACCAGCTGATAGGATTTCTGGGAGTTGAAGGCCAAAAATATATGGGGACACCAGGTTGAGAACCACTGGTGTACAACACCCAAGGCAGAGGTAGGTAGGTGTCCAATATATAGGCAAGGATATATATAATTTCTGGGTGTTCTGGGTCCAGGGGCAGGGCAAGTGCTCAAGCGGCGCATTCGGGATGTCTATGCACAGCTGGACCTAGAGAGCATAGGTAGGTCTTCAGCCACAAGGTTTTTAGCTTCCCACAAAAGGAATATTCATTTAGAGCACTACCTAACTATTCCACTTCCACTACCCTTAAGAAGAATATATACTAGGGCTAGGTTTGAACAACTCGGTATTATGATGCAAACCGGGCGTTACTGTAACATCCCAAGAAGTGAGAGATTCTGCGTATGGGGAGAACAAACAATGGAAGACATTGAACATTTCTTAATTGACTGTCCAGCATATACTGAACTGTGAAACAGATATTTACATCCAATATTATCCAACTGCAGGTCCCTCAACAAAAATGATATTTTGACATCCCTCTTACAAGGTCAGGAAATCCAGCATCATCAGAGTAAGCCTTTTTATTCTGAAAGCTATTAAGAAAAGAGCAGATTTCCTGAAAGAAGAACCAGGAAAATAAGATTCTGACTGTAAACAGAAGGTCAGCTGCTGTCCTCACCTTTTTGCCTTGTTTTTTACTCGTGTTCTATTTTGAAATGGTCATATGACTGGTCAAATAAATAAATATTATTATTATTATTATAAAGAAGGCACACAACAACAGCCTGGCCTTATTGGGAGCTCAGGCTTCCCACGCTCTTCTCTAAAAGGCATTTCCCCAAAACAATACAACCACAACCAAGCACTTCTTCAAAGGCCGTGGGGAAGCATACCCTCTGGACTCCATCTACACTGGAATTTTTAATGCAGTTTCGAACCCGTATTGAAGGGAATGGTTCTGCTGTGCAGGTGATGGCAGGAAATCTTGGGAGCCAGTTTGGTCACCTTCCATCTTGACCAAGGCAGAATAGAGGAGCACCATTATTGACACTGACCTAGAGCTAGTCCTGGGCCAACTTGAGCCCTGCCTCCAGGTGTTTTGAACTCCAACTCCCACAATCTCCATGAGGGGACTCAGGGCGGTTTCCAGAAAAAGTGGCAAACATTCAATGCCAATAACAACAAATAACGAATCAAAAGAGTGGCTAACACAATCTCAATATAAGACTATAAAACTAACCGAAAAAAATAACCAAAAATTAAACTTAAATAAACATACCACATCATAAACATTTACACCATGAGTTCCTCCAGGGAGGGCAGAATACAAATAAAATATTATTATTATTAACTCTTAGAAGACTCTTAAAATTAGACTAAAAAGGCATTAAAAGCTAAGATGGTGTACAACATCCATGTCCAATATATAGGCAAGGATATATATAAAGAAGGCACACAATATCCAAGGCAGAGGTAAGTAGGTGTCTAACATATAGGCAAGGATATATATAAAGAAGGCACACAATCTCCAAGGTAGAGTTAAGTAGGTGTCTAACATATAGGCAAGGATACACCACAATGAGTCGCCCCTGGGCTGAGAATTGCGGTATATAAACGAAGTAAATAAATAAATAAGAATATATATAAAGAAGGCACACAATATCCAAGGCAGAGGTAGGTAGGTGTCTAACATATAGGCAAGGATATATATAAAGAAGGTACACAATCTCCAAGGCAGAGGTAGGTGTCCAATATATAGGCAATCATATATATAAAGAAGGCACACAACAGCCTGGCTTTAGTGGGAGCTCAGGCTTCCCACGCTCTTCTCTAAAAGGCATTTCCCCAAAACAATACAACCACAACCAAGCACTTCTTCAAAGGCCGTGGGGAAGCATACCCTCTGGACTCCATCTACACTGGAATTTTTAATGCAGTTTCGAACCCGTATTGAAGGGAATGGTTCTGCTGTGCAGGTGATGGCAGGAAATCTTGGGAGCCAGTTTGGTCACCTTCCATCTTGACCAAGGCAATATAGAGAAACACCATTATGGACATTGACCTAGAGCTAGGCCTGGGCCAACTTGGGCCCTGCCTCCAGGTGGTTTGGACTCCAACTCCCACAATTCCTAACAGCCGGTAGGTAGGCTGTTAGGAATTGTGGGAGTTGGAGTCCAAACCACCTGGAGGCAGGGCCCAAGTTGGCCCAGGCCTTGTGGTAGACCCGAGGCTCCCGGTGAGGCCTGCCCGCTTCCTCCTCCTTCCCTCTCCGCCCGCTGCCCGGCTTCGCTCGACCCACCCGCGGATTCTCCGGTGTTGATCCAGTCCGGGTTGGCCAGGCTGGCGATGGCGAAGATGTCTGCAGCCAGAAAGAGGCATCCTGAGATGATGGTCAGTTTGTCCATGTCCTCCGGCTCCGGCCTCAGGCCTCAGGCGGGGGCCCCGGGCCGGGGGCTCCTCACAGCCGCGGCTCCATGGCGGACGCCTCCCCCCGGAAGCAAAAACCCCAGCCGCATGACCCGGAAGCTAAAGCACCAACCCTCGTCCTCAGCTCCCCCCGCGCGCGCCTCGCACTTTGTCCCAGACGGGGCGGGGCGACGACGATCCAATCAGGGCGAGGCTTCGGAAAAGGGGCGGGGCTTCAGGGAGAACAGTTCAGCGAGGGGGAACCAGATCCGAGGGAAGTGAGGCAGTGGGCGGGGCTTATTCTAATTTGTGGGCGGGGCTTTGGGGAGGGAGATTATAATATAATAACTGTATATTATATATTACATGACATATTGCAATATAGTGATATAGTACATTATAATGCTAATATTGTGCAACATAATTCTAATATTGGTTGTGTATTATATATATTGTATACTAATATAGTACAATATAAGAATAAAAATATATAATAATAATAATAATAATATAGTACAATATAATAAAATAATATATAATAATAGTACAATATAATATAATAATATAATAATGGTACAATATAATAATATGTAATGATATAATAATAGTAATAATAGGAAATCAGAAGACGCTTACTACTTGGGAGGAGAGCAATGTCCAGTCTCGATAAAATAGTCAAGAGTAGAGACATCAGACTGGCAACAAAGATCGATGCTTTTGAGCTGTGGTGTTGGAGGAAAGTGCTGAGAGTGCCTTGGACTGCGAGAAGATCCAACCAGTCCATCCTCCAGGAAATAAAGCCCGATTGCTCATTGGAGGGAAGGATAGTAGAGACAAAGTTGAAATACTTTGGCCACATCATGAGGAGACAGCAAAGCCTAGAGAAGACAATTATGCTGGGGAAAGTGGAAGGTAAAAGGAAGAGGGGCCAACCAAGAGCAAGATGGATGGATGGCATCCTTGAAGTGACTGGAATGACCTTGAAGGAGCTGGGGATGGTGACCGCCTACAGGGAGTTCTGGCGTGGGCTGGTCCATGAGGTCACGAAGAGTCGGAGACGACTGAACGAATGAACAACAACAACAACAACAACAACAAAATAATAATAATAATAATAATAATAGTTCAATATAATAATATATAATAATATAATAATTGTATTTTATGTGATATATGTAATTATATGTAATATTACTGATAATATTGCAATATAGCGATATAGTATAATATGCTAATATTGTGCAACATAATGGTAATACTGGTAGTGTATTATATATATTGTGGTATACTAATATAGTACAATATAATAATAAAAATATAATAATAGTACAATATAATAAAATAATATATAATAATACAGTAGAATAAAATAATAATCTATATAAATAAAAATGTAATGTTCGTTTGTGATACCATCAGAACTCAAAAACCACTGGGGCAATTGGCACCAAAGACTGCGGATCACAATTTGTACCAATCACAACATTGTCTATTTTCAAATTTCTATAAAATGCCAGTGTCTGTAAAGGTGGGGCATGTCAGATCTGCGAGAATTCCTCTGACATCCTCCCTTGGAAAAATAAAGCAATCTCTGACTCTGCCTTCAAAACTCTGTCTCTTTATTGGAATCAATCGGAGCTTGGATTTTGGGCTACAATATCAATTATAGAAACATAGAATGATAAAGCTGGAAGAGACCTTGTGGGCCATCCAATCCAACTCCATTCTGCCAAGAAGCAGGAAAATCACATTCAAAGCACCTCCGACAGATGACCATCCAGCCTTTGCTTAAAAGCCCCCAAAGAAGGAGCCTACACTACACTCTGGGGCAGAGAAAGAGTTCCACTGCTGAACATCTCTCACAGTCAGGAAATTCTTCCTCATGTTCAGATGGAATCTCCTTTCCTATAGTTTGAAGCAATTGTTCCATTGCATCCTAGTCTCCAGGGCAGCAGAAAACCGGCCTGCTCCCTCCTCCCTCACATATTTATACATGGCCCTAATCATGTCTCTTCTCAGCCTTCTCTTCTGCAGGCTAAACATGCCCAGCTCTTTAAGCCACTCCTCATAGAGAGCTGGGCATGTTTAGCCTGCAGAAGAGAAGGCTGAGAGGAGACATGATGAGGGCCATGAATAAATATGTCACATATAGACAGTGGAAGTTAAGCACTGTTTGTACTTGAATGGGTGTCCACTAATGAATAGCAGGTGAGTAGATTATATTTCAGAGGAAGGAACTGGCAAAACCACCTCTGAGTAGTCCTTGTCCAAGAAAACCCTATGAAAATCATGAGGTCAATAAGTTGACATGGAACTCAGAGGCATAACAGTCACATATAGACACATAGCACATAAGAGGCTGAGTCACAGAAAAAATAACTAGATAATTCATTCCTTTATTTATTTCCTATATTTTTAACCCTCCTTCCTCACCCCTGAGGGGGGAGTCAGGGCGGCCTCACAAAAGCACCATAAGATGCCGACATCATAAAAACAGAAAACCATACATTAAAAATATTAAAAACCGTAATTAAACAATTGATAAAACAAGCCTGTTAAAGTCGAAGTCCAGAGTCCAAAGAGAAGGAGTGCAGTAGAGCCTCGCTTATCCAACCTTCGCTCATCCAAAGTTCTGTATTATCCAACGCAGTCTGCCTCCCACCCGGATCCACAGCTGTTTCAATACATTGCAATGTTTTGGTGCTAAATTCAAAAATATGGTAATTACTACATAATGTTACCATGTATTGAACTGCTTTTACTGTTGATTTGTTGTAAAACATGATGTTTTGGTGCTTAATTTCTAAAACCATCATGTAATTTGACGTTTAATAGGATTTTCCTTAATCCCTACTTATTATCCAACATTTTCGCTTATTTATATATTTACAGTATTTATATTCCGCCCTTCTCACCCCGCAGGGGACTCAGGGAGGATTACAATGTACACATATATGGCAAACATTCAATGCCAACGACACACAACAGATATAGACAAACAGACATAGGCTATTTAACTTTTCCTGGCCACCAGGGGAGCTGTCGCTTTCATTGTCCATCTCCGACACTGATGAAGTACTTCCGCATTCCCCCACATACTTTTGCTGGAGTGCTTTGCTGGAATCTTTTTTATGGCCTCGTAAAATGTTTGTTAAATTAGCCTCCCCACACATAGGTGGTACCTAATTTTCCTACTTGACAGATGCAACTGATTTTCGGGTTGCAAAGGTCGACAACAAGCTACACAATTGGTTGGAAGCTCACTCTGACCCGGTCTGGCTTCGAACTCATGACCTTGTGATCAGAAGTGATCTTAATGCAGCTGACACTCAGACAGCTGCACCACAGTCCCAGTGCAATCTAACGCTCTGCCGACCCATTTATGTTGGATAAGCGAGACTATACTGTCGATCTTTTCAAGCTAATCTCCTAGGTATACTTATTTCCTTCCACTACGTGCAAATTGTGAGAAATCTAAACTGAATCCACTTGTTACCAGTGATGTAGGATGGCTGACCTATGATTGGTATTTTAGACTGCCAGGTCTAGCAACTCCAAAGCCACAGAGTTGTAACACTTCTAAAAATATATCTGACCGTAGCAACACCCTTTCCTTCCAATGGGCATCTTGAAATTGCACACCCGGAACACTAATTGCCATGTGACATGCGGATTGTCTACCCAGTTTATTTTTAGAACCTTCTGCCCAAATTACAGGGTATAATAAAACTGCCACATTCAGGCTGCAGTGGCATGTTGAGTTCTTGGAAGTAAATACAGTCAAATACTTCCTTAACTCTGCTACCCAATAGGTTATGAATCGAACAGGTCATCATCCATAATCCCCAATAGGTTGTTATCCTAACAGGTCATCATCCTTATCTCAGTATGTACTTAGTTTCTCTATATAGCTCTTTGCCTTGCTTAATTGTAGGGTCACCAAAAGAATGGGCCATTTCAATCACAGTTCTATACCTGTAGTTGTGGTAGTATACATAAGACATTAAAAGATGGAGGACATTTGTGAGGCCAGGTTCTGATCTTTACTCATCACTGGAGGTGCCAAGACTCTTGGAACTCAATGGGGATTCTAAACGGTTGCTAGGTATCAATATCACCTTGCCTACTAGGTGTTTTCCTTTCATGTGATTCTGTAGGTTAGTGTCATTCTGTAGGTTAGTCAGTCACTTCTCATAAGGCATACCAGAGGTGTTGCCCCATTTTGTTTGGCTAGCCAGAGTCTCTTGAGGCTTTGTAATCATGGATCGCAGAAGGTCTTATTTTAGGAGAGAGTCAGCTGTTCCAAAAACTGTATCTCCCCGAAGGCTATCTGTCCGAAGGAAGTCTTCATCCCCAAGGAGATCTTGGTCTCGAAGGCGATCTTCATCTCGAAGGAGATCTACGTCCCGAAGGAGGTCTTCATCCCGAAGGAGATCTTCATCCCGAAGGAGATCTTCATCCAGAGGAAGATCATACGAGAGGAGGAAGTCATCTGTTAGAAGGAAATCATCTGCTAGAAGAGTGTCCTATGTCAGAAGGAGATCATCTGCTAGAAGAGTGTCCTATGCCAGAAGGAGATCATCAGCTAGAAGATGGTCATATGTATCATTAGGTAACTATAACACTAGAATTAATTTGAATCACTTATAAAACTCTGTCTCATTTTCCTGCCTTTTCTTTGCCACTAATGCCACTATTTTGTTGACAGGTCATTGTTGCGTTGTTTTACAAGCCTGTGGTTAGAATGGGAATGTTAAATGTTCTCATGTTAGGATATGTGTTTTGATAAATCATGACTTTGCTGACTAATGTTAGGATTTTAATTGATGGGTACCTTAGCTGGCATCCATGTGTGATGAATTTGACATGCCCAAAGAGGTTTTAGGGACTCATGTTTTTCCAACTGTAGTTTCTAGTGTTGGGGAAATGGCTTTTGGAATGAAGATGGTCTTCTAATGTAGGACCGGGTTGTGGCACAGTTGGTTGGGAGTTAGATACATTAAAATCATTACTGACTGAAAGGTCATGAGTTCAAAGCCAGCCAGGGTCAGAGTAAGCTCCCAACCATTTGTCTAACTTGCTGTTGACCTTTGCAGCTCGAAAGACAGTTGCATCTGTCAAGTAGGAAATTTAGGTACCACTTATGTGGGGAGGCTAATTTAATTAATTTACGACGCCATAAAAAAAATCTCCAGCAGCATGCAAAAGAATTAGGAAGCACTCCATCGGTGTCACAAGTGGATGGTGAAGTGATAGCTCCCCCGGTGGCCGGAACTCGAAGCATACCCTCACGAAGCTGGAAAGTTAAATAGCCTCTGTGTGTCTGTCTATAGATGTTGTGTGTCTATGGCATTGAATGTTTGCCATGTATTGGGCATTGTGATCCGCCCTGAGTCCCCGGCAGGGTGAGAAGGGCGGAATATAAATACTGTAAATATAATATAATATAAGACACAATATGAAAGTTTTCTGATTGAGGAGGTAAAGGAAGTCAACCATCCCATTGGGCATGCTTAAAATCTGGGGTGTGTTTTAAAGCAATATCTGGATCCTGGCTCTAAGAAGAACCTTTTGATTTAACAAATATTGTTGACTTCTTTCAAAAGCCATTATCGAGGGCAGTAGTTATGACACTGAATTCAACTACTATGGACTTCATCAGACACAGGTCCCTATCCTCCTGTTTCTACACACTTTAAAACCAGTTTACAGATGGAATCCCATAGCGTCCATCACATGCTGCAAAACTACTTCTTCCAGTTGCCTTGTGGGACTCCGTTTGTAAACAGTTTCAGATATGTTTGGAAATGGAGGATTCTGGAGTTGGGGAGCAATCATATCTTCAGAACTCCCACTGTGTGCAGAAATGGCTAAAGGCACTTACCTACACGTGAGATGGGAACTGCTAGATTCACCAATGTTAGTTCATTTTTGTGATGTTTAGAGTAAGCGTTCCTGTGGCCAGTCTCGAAATTAGCTTCGATGCTCCTTTTCTTGCCAATACTCTTTTATGAAACTTTAATGCTATTTTTTAATTTATTTATTCATCAGGGATTGTGCAGTTTTGAACTTTGCTGTGGCTATATTTCCTCCCCCCTTTTTAGACCTAGATTTCGGACTTCCACAATTGCAAAGTTCCCTTTTAAAAAAAGAACAACAACAACAATACGGAATGGGCAGGGACTATCCTCGTCTGTATGATAGAGTGCAATTTTGAACTTTGCTGTGACTATATTTCCTCCCCCTTTTTTAGACCTAGATTTTGGACTTCCGCAATTGCAAAGTTCACTTTTTTAAAAAAGACGAACAACAATAATACGGAATGGGCAGAGTCTACTCTCGCTTGAATGACAGATCAGAATACAGAGGATTACACTAGAAGCAGTAAAAATACACTGCGAGTGATGTTCTTGAAAATATTATTCCTTTTCCTTAAATATAGAATGGAACCACATACTATAGTAAAAATATTATTCTTTCCTCTCTTTCATCCCCTTGTGGGATAAGGTCCTTTGTTTTTCAGAACATCATAATAAGGGAATATGTAAGTTTATGACAAGCCTGTCCCAAGACATGTTGCTTCTGAAGGTGAGGAACGCAATGTCAGGTTCTTTTTTTTTTATCTTTTGGATCTTTTTTCTATATTAGCAGTAGAAGGGCATCTTCCACCCAATCTAAAGATCACAGGGTAGCTGAAATAATGAAGGGCAAGCTTTTTAGCACATGGCTTTCTCATCCCACACCTGCTGCTGCCTCCCAGCATCCTCCATATGCCGTCGCGCCTGGGGGCTATAACTCTTAGTGAAAGAGACATAGACGTGACATCTTTCCCCCATGGGATTGCTTCTTGCCCTCCTTTAGGAAACTGGAACTCCCAAGGACCAAAACACTGTAGATAACTCAAAATAGGTTTTATTGTTCACAAAGAGTTATCCCTTTAAGGCAATAAGCTGGAAGTTTCAAAGGGGGTAAAGGAAATATACATTACAGTCTCTGGTTGTCTTGGGTCCAAGGAGATTTCGCAGCTGAGAAGCTTTTCCTGTTCCCTCTTTTCTCAATGGCTGTGAAGGTCGGAACAAACACAACCCCCAGTCCAATGGCCTATGTTGAAGGCACAGAGTCTTCCTTTTGATGCCAAAGGACCGGTTTGAAGGCGCTTCAACGTTGTCCAGGGTGATCTGGACATGAAGTATTAATCCCAAGGGTAAAAACCTTAAAATTGGTGATGAGAGGTAACTTAATCAAGGGCTTTAGAGCCAAGTCTCTTTCTCACGTCTATCTGATAGAAAGTTTGATGGTAGAATGGAAAAGGAAAAGCTCTGCCCTCCTCCAGGAAGAGGTGGAGCCAAGCAATTGAGCTGAGGAAGCAATATAACTGGTGCAAACAACATTGATTGACAGCTATAAATAACCAATCAATCCAACTATACATTTACAAACTAGGCAAGTTTGGGCATGTTATACAGTTTAAACCTTTGCATTTTAAAGTTCTACACATAGGTGGCGCCACTCACGCCGTCACACTCCATCCGAGCTACATGCCTAGTGGTTGTGTTGTTCTTGGATTACAGTTAAGCAAAATGAACTTTGGAACATAATCCCGTTATTGTTTTCTCTACAGAAGATGAGGACTCCATAAGCTCTGATTCTGAGGATTCCTGGGCATGGGATTTAGGTGAGTGGCAGAAGAATTGGTTCTTCAATGCCATAAAATTTGGCAACAGTTATTGGATTGTGTATGTGCTACCAATCTGCAATGTTAGCATGGGAAGGAGTTCCACATTACAGTTGTGTAGATATTACAAGTCCCCACTCCCTGGCCTTTGAATGGAGAGTACTGTTCCACCACTCTTAACATACTGTCATGTTTGGAGAAGCCAGGCAGCAAGAGAAAATAAGGAAAAGGGGGAGAGCACACCTGGAATGGGTGTTAGATTTAGCACAGGCAGTCCCCAAGTTACAAACAAGATGGGTTCTATAGGTTTATTCTTAAGCTGAATTTCTCTGCAAGTTGGAACAGGTATATTTTTTAAAGTGTAACTCCATCCAAATATATACAGGTAGTCCCAGAGTTACAAACATCCAACTTACAAATGATTCATAGTTAAGAACTTGAGGGACAAAGTTTCTGATCTTAGGTAATCAAGGTCCTGGCTGTCATTAAAAGAGTTAATAAATGCACATACTCCGAGCCCCTATTTCTGCAAAGGAGTGGTGGACTCTTAGCTTCAGGTGAATTGCATACATCTCTCAAGCTTGTCTGGCTGGCAAAAAACATCACGTATCTTTGCACACACACAGTGAATCTGCTGATTACCTGTCTTGGGAAATAGCCAGAGGTATTTGCTGTTTTTTTCCCATTCTCAGGGGATTACCTGAACGGGGATACAAAGGGGTGATTGTAACAAAAATAATCAAATTGATACACATTTGATTACACAAAAATAATTTAATTGACACAATTTATTAAAGGGCTAGTTATGATATGATTAATGGGGTATAGCTGCTGCTTGGTTTATTCCCAATAATCTAAAGCTTTGAACTTCTGCAACTCCAAACTCCAAGAAAGGTTTATATATATATATATATATATATATATATATATATATATATATACACACATACACACACACACACACACATATATGGTGCAGCGGGTTAAACCACTGAGCTACTGAACCTGCTGACATAAAGGTCAACGGTTCACATCTGGGGAGTGGGGTGAGCTCCTGCTGTTAGTCCCAGATATCGGTGCTCCATGCGGTTATGCTGGCTACATGACCTTGGAGGTGTCTACTGACAATGCCAGCTCTTTGGCTTAGAAATGGAGATGAGCACCACCCTCTAGAGTCAGACACAGGACATGGCTAGACTTAATGTCAGGGGAAACCTTTACCTATATATATATATATATATATATATATATATATATATATACACACACACACACACACACACACACACACACATACCCTTAGTGAACTATAAATCATTTGGGGATGGGGGAGTTACCATGGCTTGATAACAGTTGAAAAAGAAGCCAGAGCTTTTTAAGAGAAGGAAAAATATAAATGTTATATATTTGAAATATATACTTGCAATTACAGTAGAGTCCCACTTATCCAGCATAAACGGGCTGGCAGAACGTTGGATAAGCAAAAGTGTTGGATAATAAGGAGGGATTAAGGTTAAGCCTATTAAACATGAAATCATGTTATGATTTTACACCCAAACATCACGTTTTACAACAAATCAACAGAAAAAGCAGTTCAATACATGGTAATGTTATGTAGTAATTTCTGTATTTACGAATTTAGTACCAAAACATTGCAATGCATTGAAACAGCTGTGGATACGGCCGGGAGGCAGACTGTGTTGGATAATACAGAACGTTGGATGAGCAAAGGTTGGATAAGCAAGACTCTACTGTATTTCCCGTGCAACTAATCCAGAGAAGTTTTATATTGCAGAACGAGGCATGATGGGCTTCGTGGGTTACTGGTCTGAATAGAAACTTAACTTATTTTAGACTGCAAAGACTTTGCCTCTGTTTTGTTTAGACTCAGAGGAAGATTCAAATATGAACCAATCTGAACATACTTTAAGCACAACAGTTAAGACAAATATACAAATGGAAGAGGATGGCTTAGGCTTAATACTCATCCAAAATGGACCCTACATCCAGATTGCAAGTTTAGTAGAGAAAAGCACAGCAGAAAGAGATGGAAAACTGCAGTCAGGTAAGGAAGGAAACCACAGGGAAATGCTGTGGGCTCTTTTCAGATTAACTATAAATCATGGGAGGCCATTGTCTGCCTTTTGTTTCCTGTTTCCCTTATGCCTATCCCTGGCAACTTTCACTGAAAGCAAAATGTGATTTCACTCCAACTGACTGAATGGTTCATTGCCTGCAGCCTCTATCAGTTGATGAGCTGGAGAAATACTAGAAATAGCTGATAGAGAAATAGTCACAGATCACATCTCTTTTCTTCTTCACTTCATTTCAATTTTATTCTTCGGACCTTTACTATACATATTTTAAATGTATATTGTTGTTGTGGACCCCACACCTAGGGCAAATTGTATCAAATTATCTTGCAAGAGCTACGGTGGGGACGGGCCATGGAAAGCGAGGAACCTTTTATTTGGCAAACTCCTATTTTGTGCACACCTGGAAGCATGGAGCAGCCCAGCAATAGCTACCAGCGCTGAGGATGCCTTTTGAAACTATCTTTCCCCATTTGATTAGTTATATTGTTTCCTAACCCCTAAATAAATGTGCACCTTGTGTTATCTGCTGTATCTGCTTCATTGTATCTCTTTCTGCCTTTTGAGTCTTTTTCCTCCCTCTTTCGCCTTCCGCAGCAGGCCCCGATGGCCACATGGTCCTCATAGCTCTCGGAGCAAGGCTCTCCTTCCCATTTTTCCCTATATTAATCTGCACAGATCCGGCATGTAGCGGGGGGGGGGGGGCTTGAGGGGCTTCAGCCCCCGCCCCCCAAAATTCTCATGGTGGTTCGCGAAAAGGCCTTACTGGTGCATTATTTAAACTGTTATGTTTATTCATATCATGATCTGATCACCACACTCAATATATCCCATATGCATGGGGGTATTGGGGTAATGATACAAAAGGTTTGCTAGGCTAGACCCTCTTTCACTCAGACTCAGCCCCCCCCCCGAAACTCAGCCCCCCCGAAACCCCCCCTGAAAATTTTTTAGCCCCCCCCCGAAACGAAATCCTGGCTACGGGCCTGTCACCTATACATCATTAAACCCTGTGTCAGTTCCAACCCCCCATGGATGCCCTGGCCTCCATTCGTTGGGTCCCCCTTGGTATCCATGGGTCTCCTTGTGTATGTGTTCCCCTGCTCCATGGATGCCCAGGCCTCTGTACGCTGGGTCCCCCTTTGGTATCCATAGACCCTTGTGTGCGTATGTAATATTACATTTTATGTCTTAATATAAAATCCCTTTGCAGAAGTATGCCACCAGTCAAGACCTTTTGGTGACTTTTCGTCAGCACCTCATGACCCAGGAGTTGTCTTCTTGGCCATCATCTACATATATAGCACTCAATCACCCATCACTCTTGGGGCCAGTCCATCTCTACTGGCCCTATAAACTCTGACTGTGCAGAGGACAACAGGATCCATTCACAGGGCCACCTGTCCTTTGTCTCAGTCACCTGGACATTACAACGCCATTCACCACTTGGCATGACTATCTGTTCGCTGGGAGGTTATGCCCTGTTGTTCCACAATTATATTTCTCCTACTTATGGTGATAGGACTTCAGCATGGACAATATTATGCTTTTGCACTCCATGGACAGCAGTGCCAGAGGTGCTGAACCCATTCGCTGGGGACTCATATTGTAATTATTTTTACAGTAAAATGCATGGGACTTGATGGCCCCTCTTTGTTCTGTCCCTTGTTGGGATAAAGGTGATTCACTCAACAGTACTTTGCAATCCTTTGCCTCCCAGACCAGCCTGCCCCCCATTAGCCATTGGAGAGCGGGAATCTGCAAGTGGTAAACGCTCTCTGTTTGGCGAGCGCTGCAGTCCCATCTTATCAGGGAATCCCGTCCAGCTGATAATGATGTCGACGAAGCTCAGTCAATTATGGCAAAGCTGGGGCAGGAGTGGGAATTTCAAAGGGTTTTACTGTATTTAAATGTCTGTTTTTCAATGTTATGGCCTCTCAGCTTTCTTTGGCGGATTACCACAAACTGGCATCCACTTCAGCTGACTGGAATAAAATACCTCGGTGGGTTTTTCTTCAACTTGGAGAAATGTCTTAATTTGGGAACATTGGGATAGTTTCTTCATCTCACCAAGAGCACAGCTCCATAAGCACCCTGCTGCCGGTGCTGGTATCCACTTATCAGAACTTGGTATCCGTGCTTCAAGTTTCACTATCTGCAGCCTAGACCTCAATGCCTTAAATTGCTCTATTTCATTATTAGGAACATACATGTATTTGAGTGAAAAGAATGCTTCTTTGTAATTTTCAGAGATGGGATGGGAAATGTATGCATCCAAACATTGGGGAAGCACTCTTTCCCATCATGGCTTTGAATGGGAGGCCTCTCATTTATTCAAAGACCATCTCCAAACTGTTGAATCCTGTGATAAAATCGCAAGTGATCCTCTCGAATTATGAACAAACGATCTTTTTGATAAAGGAATAGTTGTTCAGCATTCACATCCAAAAATGTAGCATTCGTCTTTAGTTTTCAGCATAGTGTTTGTAATCCCCAACTGATGTTGTGATTGGTGTGTCATTAGACCTTCTTTGCTGCTCTTACCAGGGGATACACTTCTGAAGATTGGACATGCAAATGTTTTAGGATGGACACTGCGAGAACTCAGGCAACTTTTGCACACCACTCCCATTGGGACCGTTCTGCAGATCCAGGTTTACAGAGATTTTATGAAGCTGCCCAAGAGATGGGAAGCTGCTATCGACAACATTCCTGAAAGAAGGGGACCTGCGATAGAAGAGTAAGGATTTGCACATTCCTGAGTGGAATTCTGAGGAAGACTTGGAGCAGCACATGGGGGCACCTTTGGAGATAACAGCCGAAAAATCCTGTGGTCATATAGTTCCTTGAAGGGTGGATCTGAACTAGGACTCAGAGCTGAGTGGCAGAAGGCTTTGCCTCTGTTGTATATCAGCCTGTGATAATGTCTGATGTTCATGTTGATATTCATGATGAGGATGGGGATGATGTTCATGCTGATGTTCATGAAGGGAATGGGGATGTTGATCCAGTTCCTGGGCCAGGATCTAGTGGTTTTGGGGGTGAGGGGTCGTTTGGGCCTGAAATTGTTTATTTATGGCATTTATATGCCGCCCTTCTCACCCCAAAGGGGACTCAGAGCGGCTTACAGGATATATATCCATACTATATATATGAATGGAGTTTAAAAGAGAGGCCAGAGAGGCTTGAGTTGCTGCAAGAGGATTCTCAAGGTCCCAAGCTTGAGAAAGGCCTTTTGCCATAGTTCTCTGGTCAGTTATCTGAGAATGAAGTTGATTTTGAGGTAGCAGTTGCAGGACTTCATGGTGGGAGCAAGACCTTGAACAGGAAATGAAGTTTTAGTAAACAGAAGCAGTCTGTACATCAATTAAGACGCTTAGCTCAGCTTCAACAGAAGATAGATAGTAAACCGAAACTAAGAAAGAATCAATTCCTATCAGTTTTGGAGTTAGGGAAGGGTTTATAAATGATTTGTGAGAGATGATTGCTTCAGTTGAGGCAATATCAGAATAATGCCAAGTTTCATGCACCAAGGTCTGCCTAGCTCTTGTTTTGCCTATGGGATATGCTTCAGTATTGTTTATGGATTCAAATGCCTACTTTCATGGGTTTCCTTGGACTCTTTGTTCCTGTCTTCCTTTGTATCAATTGGATTACTTTTTACTGTGGATTACTTTTTACTGCTTTGGCTACATATATTCCTAAATAAACTGCTTACTGATTTTACCCAGCTGGTGTGGTGTTTAAAGTCAGAGGTGGTTCTGCTTTGGAGTATGACAGTCTCTAGGCCTTTGGGGAGTGTTAGGAAAAGCTGCCTCTGAAACTCTGCAGGGACACAACCGGTCAATAAAGGTCAGGACAAGGCAACTTTAGAGCAGGGTCCTCAAACTTTTAAAGCTGTGGGCTGGTTCAGGGTCCCTCAGACTGTTGGAGGGTTGGGCGATATTTTGAAAACATGAAAGAACAATACAGTATTGAAAATGAAGAACAATTTTAACCAACACAAACTTACCAGTATCTCAATGGGAAGTGTGGGCCTGCTTTTGGCTGATGAGATAGTCACGTTAATTAGGATTGTTGTTGTTTTTGTGTGCGACCCTAAGTCTAAAGTTTAGGGCCAGTGGACCATAGTTTGCAGACCCCTGGTTTAGAGGGTGAGGGTTATGTTTCATCATCGCTACTTTACTTGCATTAGGTCAATGCTGATTTTGAACAAAATTGGGTTTAGGGCTTAAATAAGTTGTCAGGAGGTATGTGATTGTTTAGCAGAAAATTTACATCCCTTCTTTAATCTTCCATCTTTGTTTGGCAATCTAATTTTGGGGAGAAATGAGGGTTGCATGCAGCTTATATAATTCTCATCCTGGCATGTTCCATATATGGATCACTGCATTACTCAATGTAAGACATCTTGCCTATACTGAAGACACTATTTCCCCACTGAAAAGTAGGAGATAAACCAATCAGCAATGGTTTTATACTAAAGATAATGTGGCTAAATATTGTATTATCGAAGGCTTTCATGGCCGGAATCACTGGGTTGTTGTGAGTTTTCTGGGCTGTATGGCCATGTTCCAGACGCATTCCCTCCTGACATTTCGCCCACATCTGTGGCAGGCATCCTCAGAGGTTGTGAGGTCTGATGGAAACTAGGAAAATGAGGTTTATATATCTGTGGAATTTCCAGGGTGAGAGAAAGAACTCTGGTCTGTTCGAGGTAGGTGTGAATGTTTAAATTGGCAACCTTGATTAGCATTAAATGGCCTTGTAGTTTCAAGGTCTGCCTGGGGAATCCTTTGTTGGGAGGTGATTAGCTGTCCTTGATTGTTTCTTGTCTGGAATTCCCGTTTTTGAGTGTTGTTCTTTATTTACTATCCCGATTTTAGAGTTTTTAAAAAATATTGGTAGCCAGATTTTGTTCATTTTATAGATTCTTCCTTTGTTATAATTGTCCACATGCTTGTGGATTTCAATGGCTTGTCTGTGTAGTCTGACATGGGAATTCGAGACAAGAAACAATCAGGGCCAGCTAATCACCTCCCAACAAAGGAAGTAAGAAGGTGGCCAATTGAAACATTGACACCTACTTCAAACATACAAGAGTTCTTTCTCCCATCCTGGACATTATTCCATGGAAATATAAACTCCATTTTCCTATTTTCCAACAGACCTCACAACCTCTGAGCCATAGATGCAGGCGAAACGTCAGGAGAGAATGCTTCTGGAACATGGCCATACAGCCCAGAAAACTCACACGAACCCAGGCTAGATATTCTCTGCTTTGTGGTCAGCTCTATGTAAGTTTCATGAAATCTACAGCATCATCCTGATAACTGTAGGAGGGAAGATACGTTGGGGACCTCCAGTGAAGATCAATAATTGGGTGAGTTTTGGCAAGGAGCACTTCTCTTTGCAACAACCTCTGCTTGGTTTAAACTACATTTTAAGGAGGTGTCAAGATCCACACAGCATTGTTTCCAAAACTTGCAGTAGCATTGCACTGGCTTTCTGTAAACACTCTGTGGAATTAATTTGTGTTTAACAGGCTTTCCTATCCTAGTGATTAATGTGGACATTTCTTACATAAAACAGATGTTTTCTTTTCTCCATCTCCAAAGAATTGTATTGTTAAGTTACATAAGGAATGGAGAAAACAAGTAATGGAAAGCTCGGCTGGCGGACAAAACCAGCAGCTGTATTCTTCAAAAACGGGAAGCAGTTAGAATCATAGCGCGGGAAGAGACCTCGTGGGCCATCCAGTCCAACCCCCTGCCAAGAAGCACGCCCAACAGATGGCCATCTAGCCTCTGCTTAAAAGGCTTCAAAGAAGTAGCTTCCACCACAGTCCAGGCCAGAGAGTTCACTGCTGAACAGTTCTCACAAATTAGGAATTTCTTCCTTATGTTCAGGTGGAATCTCCTTTCCTGTAGTTTGAAGCCATTCTTTCACATCATAGTCTCCAGGGCAGTAGAAAACAAGCTTCATTCCCTCCTCCCTGTAACTTCCCCTCACATCTTGATCCATGGCCCTAATCATGTCTCCTCTCAGCCTTCTCTTCTGCAGGCTAAACATGCCCAGCTCTTTAAGCCGCTCTCCATAGGGCTTGATCTCCAGACCATATATCATCTGAGTCGCCCTCCTCTGGACGTTTCAGCTTGTCAACATCTCCCTTCAATTGCAATGCCCAGAACTGGACACAGTGTGATTCCAGATGTGGTCTGGCCAAGACAGAATAGAGGGGAGCATGATTTCCCTGGATTTAGACGCTATACTCATATTTATGCAGGACAAAATACCTAGACTGAACTCAGCTTTTTAAATAAGGGCATAATCACCAAACAGGGGAAATTGCCACCAAACAGGAACACAGGAAGATCATTTCCCCAGCTCATGGTTGTATGTCTTTTCTATGGCTCTCTAGTGTTTCATATCGTATCTTATCATATCAATAACCTGGTCAATTTTGTGAATTTCAATCTGAGTTTTATGTTAGTGGCACACCTTTTAGACATGCATCATTTTGCAACATAGTGACTCAATTGCCTCACCCCCATTCTAAACAATGAATTGTATGTAAGTTGGATGTTTGTAACTCATGGACTGCCTGTACTTGTCTTTTGGGAAACAAATACTTCGTAAAACGAATTGCATTGTAAATTTTAGGACCTCAAGCTGTGCCAGTGAAGAAGCGTGGACAAGCAGTGAAGGCTCTGATGAGATTGTTAATGATCACATTCCTTGCAGTGGTGGCAACAAAGAGGACAAAGTGGCTGGCGGGACCCAAACAGTCTGCTTCGACGAGGACGGCATCTGCACTCGAACTGGAGTCACAGGGGCTCCTGTCAGCAGCAGAAGTGTGCTCTCAGAGACTTTTCCTAATGTGAGGGCTGTACAGTCAGTTTCTTTTGAACCATCTAACCAACCAAAATGGATCTCTAAAGACTGGCACATTGTTGAGAGGAAAACCTATACATTTACTGTGGGTTCAGACATTGGTTGTGACATCATGATCCATTCAGATTCTAAAGAGGAAAGTGATATGGAGACTTCAAGTTCATATTTAATCTCTTCCTCACCATACTGGATTATGAAACAACATCCCACTGATGCGTCATCAATGTCTTCATCTTCTGTTTCTGATGCATTTTGGCTTGATAAGTTTGCTTATGAATATAAATAAACAGGCAATAGTTTCACACTTCCAGGAACTGGGTCTCTCTAGCAGGATTCTTTCTCACACTTGCCATCCTGCAACTAATAATAAGATTCATCCAGTTGATGATCTGAAAACCTGGTTTTTGAAACAAGGGGCATCTTTTTAATATAGATAATCTTAACACTCTTGCAGACATCCTGTTTTTAAATGTGTATTAGACAAACTTCAAACTAGATCTGCAAGACTAGCATGCCGTTGTTTTCCACTTTTAGAGGTAATAGCATGAACCTCAAGATAATTCTAATGTACTAAAATGAATCCACTTTTTTTAAAAAAAAACAATATTACTTGCAAGCACACATATATTGAGGTTATCCATGAGGAAAGATAAGAGAGTTGTTCTAAACTTCTAACCACAACCCCTTATTTTCTCTAAAATGTATGTGTATGCTAGACTGCTTGGCCTCTTTTGTTTAGCATATGGTTGTCAAACTGCACCTGAAAATCCTGATGGCTGGAGTTTCCCCAGTTAGACAAAGCTGCTCCTTGTCTTCTATATTTTTAAATTATCTTTATCTCATCTTTCAAAACACACCCTTAAAAAAATCCCTAAAAAAGCCTAACACTTTAAAACATTTTACGAAGCTCCACAAGTTTGGGGTTGAAGACCATTCATGATTCCAAACTTTACCTGGGATGAGGGAAAATCCCTCATTTAGGTTTAAGGAGATACATGGATAGAATTAATGAGAATTCCGAAACATGTATATCTTTCACATTTCCATCCTAACAGATTCTACAATATAGTGCAAATAAATCACAACTGAATTCAAATCAATTAATAGGAAAACAATGCCATTAAGAAAAGAGACACACACATGCACACCACCCCCAAGAAACTGTAAAGTGGTAATCTAAAAACCAGGAGAGATAATCCAAATAAGGATCTATGTGATTCACAGATTAGAGGCCCATCCCTGGTCCTGTCCACACAGTGCCACCCAGCTGACTTACAGAAGATGCTGCAAGAATTTGCAAAAAGGCCACCAAAATGATCTTAAACAGATATACAATACAGGAAAATGCAACCATCCATTTGACTGCGAATCGGGGTGAGCTCCCGGCTATCAGCCCTAGCTTCTGCCAACCTAACAGTTCAAAATCATGTAATATGAGTAGATCAATAGGTACCACCTTGGTGGGGAAGGAAAAGGGCGCCCCATGCAGACATGCCACCAACACAATCGGAGAAGTCTATGGATAACAGGCTCCTTGACATGGTAAAATGGAAGGCCTTTTCCTCTGTCTGTGTATTGTATGCCGTTGTTTACTGTGTAAAAGGCATTGAGTGTTCGCCTTCTATGTATAAAACTGTAATCCGCTCTGAGTATCTCCAGGGAGATAAAACGTAATATAAATAAAGTGCATTATTATTATTATTATTATTATTATTATTATTATTATTATTATTATTAATCTGATCCTATCTTTCCACTAAACTGTGCACAGATTGCTTGTAAATATTAATACTGTATTTTTTCAATTGTAAGACACCACTGATTGTAAGACGCACCCTAATTTCAGTCCCACCACCACCAATAAAAATATATGAGATACACCTTTGATTTAAAGACACACCCCGTTTTTAGAGATGTTTATAAAGTGTCTTAGAATTGAAGAAATATTGTAGTTTTAAGATATGCTATAAAGCAATGGTTCTCAACCTGTGGGTCCCCAGGTGTTTTGGCCTACAACTCTCAGCAATCCCAGCCAGTTGACCAGCTGTTAGGATTTCTGGGACTTGAAGGCCAAAACATATGGGGACACACAGGTTGAGAACCACCGCTATAAAGGAAGGAAAGAGAGCCAGTATGATATCGTGGTCTCAGTACTGAACAAGTACAATGAGAGAGCAGGGTTTCAATCCCTGCTCTAAGGCATAGAAATCCAATGGGAGGCCCTGGACAAGTCACATTCTCTGAGCCTCAGAGAAAATCAATGGCAGATCTCCGAGTAAGGTTTGCCTTAAGCTGGAATCGACCTGAGGGCTACATAATTACAACAGACCACAATGAGTACAGAAGACACAGAGCTGCTAAGAATCCTGTAAGATCATGAGTTCTGAACTTTATTCCATCTGTGCACACTGATAGACCCAAAGCACTAGGAACTTATAAATAATAATGCAAGATGATCCTAGGTGTCAATGCCACTGCCTTAGAACCGAGTTTGTTTTGAAGTTGTTCCCCTGATTTAATTCTTACAACTCATCAACAAAAGGAGTATGTGCCAAGTCCCCGCTGACTGCCATTGACTTCTTTCCACTAGCAAATTTCTTTGCAGCCTGAAAATTAAGCAGAAAAATTGCACATGAGGAAATGTTAACATTTAAGGAAGTGCAAGAAATGCATTTCAAAAATATCTCTATCCCTAAACATTCAATGAATTGTGTTGTTTCTAGACAGGATTATTATGGGACATAAAATTAATTCAAAATCAGTTCTACTAGATCTAGGCCTCCAAAGGAACAATTATAAAAATGAGACGCAAACTCACTGTTCAAGGACAGTGAGTACCCAAAACGTAGGCAAATACTTTCACTTAATGCCCCCAAATTAACAGCATATGAACTTGACAAATACATTTGAGTAGAGGACTTCATAGTTTAGGAGTCACTACACAGAAAACTCTGGGCCCAAGAAGTATTGCTTCTGAAATTAGAAGCCTGAGAAGCAAAGCTCCAACACTGTGATGACACAAAGTAGTCGATCACTTATTTTGTTAATAGCATTGAACGACTCCCACTTCTCCATTTTTTAAATTCATAGATGGAATTCTATTCAGTACAGTCGCTGATAATGTTATAACATTAGTTACTGGCGTGTGGCTTACATTCACAATGTCGGCGGTGGTCACAGAATCGATCTTCTCAACGACAGAGGCTGGCGAGGCATACGTCCCAGAGGCGAGGGCCTGGGAGCCAATTTCATCAAGCAAACCTTCTGAAGACTCAACAGACATCAAGAAAGCAGCCTTCAGCTGGTTTCTGTCAAAGATTTTTGAAAAACAAAGGTGAGTTCAGCAATATCTCCTCCTTTATAAGTATCATGGACATTTCTAAGCTCTTTCTGAAAGGAGAAAATATGCTGTAGCTAACACATCTAGCGTTTTCTGCAGAAATATTTATTTACTTCTTTTATTTGCAGGATTTATATTCCACCCTTCTCACCCCGAAGGGGACTCAAGGCGGATCACAGAACACATATACAGCAAACATTAAATGCCAATTATACAATAAGACAGACAGCATACGAGGGTTGAATGAAAAGTTACTTGGGTTTAGATGGGATTATTTTAATAAATCAAATGCAGAAATAATCCTTAGAATATGCTCTTTAACTACCACTATACACTTTTCCACATAATCACCAGACGATTGGATACATTTCTGCCAACAATGAACAAGTTATCTGAAGTGGTCACAGAAGAAGTCGAGACTTTGTTTCCGCAACCAGTGTCTCACAGTTCTCTCAACGTCTTCATCAGAAGCATAATGATGTCCCCGCAGGTCTTCTTTCATTATCGGGAACAGATGGAAGTTAGACGGTGCTAAATCTGATACGACGATAGTCGTGAATCAATCTGTCAACCTTTTACTTGTGAAACTTGGTGGTTGCTGTCACAGGACATTCAACTCTTTGTTTGTCACACAAGTCATCCAAGTCAGATGTTCCCACCTCAACATCTTTAAACTTACTCGCCCAACGACGCACAGTACTCACATCAACAAAATCACCATAAACAGCTTGCATTCTCTGATGAATCTCCTTTGGGGTGACACCTTCTGCTGTTAAGAATTCAGTAACTGCACGTTGCTTAAGTCGCATTGACCGACCGTTTGTGCAGGCTTCCATACTTGGCACTTTAACAACACAACCGTTCAATGCTAAGGCTTCCCGCTAAAATGGAGCTGGGCTGAAGGTCAAAAGTTCATCCTGACCTGGCCTTCGAAAGTCAACCTTTTGGTTGGCAAGACTTACCGCAGCTGGTGATTAATAGGGAATACCACTGAATTTTAAAAAAATCAGAATTGCAGATTGGAAGAAGCAGCCAATCCAAGACTAACTACATATAATGAAAAATCATCTCTGTATCCAAACAACTACTCCTGATAGGAATATAGTAAGAGGCTATTATGGTTTTGAGCCACTCAGTCAGAATTTGCATGGCAAGCAAAGCAGAAAGGAGGATGCCTTTTGGTTTTGGTGGTTTCCCCACATCTCTCAGAACATAGTGAGAAGGGAGGTGTTCCTAATCACCAAACTAATTTTGTTTCTATTCAACAGATGGCCACAAATTGCAAGATAAGAAATTATATCCTTTTTCTTTCATGCATCAGGAAACGTAGCCTGATTTTATGAAAAATTAAAAGGTTTGCCAGAAATGGGACAATTATAATTCATTCAACATTTCTGGATTTTGAGCACACTTCCACCACAAGAATAGCTTTGGGAAGACAACTTACTTGGCTCTTGTGACTTCTGCATCAGTCAGTCCACCCTGGGAAATAGCCTTCGCCTGGCCTACCGCAGCTTTGATTACCTTGGTTCCAAAATACAAATAAATAAAAATTACGTCTGTCTGCAGCAGTTCAAATTGTCCTGTCCACTCCCAGGTGCCAAACACACATTTTGCTATATGCAAAAGATACTATAATGTATTAAAATGCTTCTTGTGTGAATTTTGTAAATTGGAAGGAGATACTAGGGACTTAACTTGAAAGCTTCAGTATGCCAAACATGCACTCAATTAACAATATATAATATAATTCCTTCCCAATGAGATCTACTAGTTCCTACAGCTAAAATCACCCAAGTTTAATATGAGATTTCCGACATGAGTGCATCTCTCTCTCTCTATGCTAAGTAAAAGTTCATCATTGTTATCTTTAGGATATCCTTCCTGGAAGCAGAACATTGTAGTGCCAGAAACACATCATTTATTTATTAAACTCTATAAAGCAGAGGAAATTTATTCTTATCAAAACTTGCAGGTTGAAAATATTTCTAGGTAACTTGACCAAACAATGACATACCTCTCCAGCAGCAGAAGCCTGAGAAATGGTATAAATCCCAAAGAGCCCAGAATCGGCATAATTCACATTAAATGCTGCTGCCTGCAAAATAAGTAATTTTGGTACTTAAAGCTGATGGAATTGATACAGACCAGATTTTTTCCCTTTCCCTTTCTTTGGTTAAGGACCTATAGCCAATAACTACATTTCTAACTGTGTAATAATTTATTTGTATTACTCTAGAAATACATTTGAACTAAATAATAGTTTTGGGCTTATGACTGAGTTCAGCAGAGAAGCGGCATTCCTACCTGAATGAAGGAAAGGGAAACACCTCTTTCGAGACTGCATGTGCTTCCTGCATTTACAGTAACTGGTTATTATTAAAATACTAGCTCGGTTACTTGGAGTTGCCTGGGTTATTTGAAAAAGGCAATTTTAAATTGAAACTCCATCAGTACTTAAAGTCTGTTACATTGGGCAAGTTTGCTCTAAATGCATCATTGGTGGAGTTCAGTGTGCTCTCTGGCTGTAGGGTAAACTACAACTCCCACTAAGGTGAGTCAGTCCTCTCAAACTCCTCCAGTAGGTTGAGTTACTCATGGAGGTCCTGTGTGCCAAGTTTGGCCCAGATCCATCATCAGTGGAGGTCAGTTCCCCTGGTTGTGGGTGAAATGAAGGTCAGTTCCCCCCAAACTCCTGTAATAAAATTTTAGCATATCAGATTTGTGTGCCAAGTTTGGTCCAGATTCATCAGTGCATGTGTTCATAATACCAACAACTTCTATAAATCATGGTGAATTCTCTCCAAACCTCTCTCTCTAGTATGTTCAGTTACTGATTAATTCTTCTGTCTGCTGTGTGCCATAGAAAGGAATAGGAAAGGGTTAAGGGAGAGGCAGTGGGTGGGGTCATGCAAATTCCACACCAATGGAGAGAATCAAAAACTCAGGTGTCTGGGATGGAGGAAAAACAGAAAATCTAGGATGAAATTGTCCCATATGAAAGCCTTCACTTGGGTGGTGGGCAGTATGGTGTTTGTGAAGGACATTGGCAGGGCTCTTGAACATGCTCACGGTGCTCACTATAACTTGCAATGTCATTAGAGGAAGGGCCATTGTGTTTTTTGAGTAGGGGAGATATAACTGTTTGTGGAGGCAGGTGCTTGTCTGTGTAAGTGGACACCCCAGCCACATACACATATACATATTTTCACTTTTATTACATTTATTTATTTATTTATTTATTTATTTATAACTTTTATATCCTGATCTTCTCCACCTCTGTAGAGGGACTCAGACCGGCTGACATAAAGGATTCAATGCTAAGAGAACAATCTAAAACACCATACATCAACAATAGAATTAAAATACATATAGAATAAAATACATATAAGCCAATTCGTCAAGATGCATGTATATATTTTTAGAATGTCTACTAACTGATCTTTGTATAAGGATCAAATATTTAAATGTGATAACACGGACAGAACCCAATGTCACAATCCACTGAGAACTTATAGCAGATGCAATTCCCATTCATTAGAAAGGGATCTGTGCAAGAAATGCTATTTTTGCTGTGTGTTTTGTACAAAAACCATACACACAATCCTTCCAAAAATATTCGTGGCACATTATTTCTCTCTGCTCTCTCTTTGCATTGGTAAAATAATAAAAACAAGCCCAAGTACTTACATCAAACGGCGAGGAAGATGCCTTTGCAATGGCCTGGGTAAGCTTACTGGTAACTCTGCTTCCTCTCTTAACAAGAGGCCCTGCCCCAAGAATATGTTGAAGGACACTGAATGCGTTTGCCTCTGCACTTCCTGTAGCAGCTCCTTCTGCTACAACAGCAGCGTGAACAAGACTCTCGCCATTCTGCTCTCGGATTTCACCTTCAAAAAAGATAAGACGTTTTACCGGCTAGTTAAAGTACTAGCATCAACATTACTACTAAAATTGGTGAGCTGAGAATCCACTATGAATCTGCCTGGGAAACTATATGTGTTGGAAAGGACTATGGCAGACATTGTGCATATTTGCCTGTCAGCCAGTATGTTTTTCCCTAAAAAAAAAAAAAAACTCCCATCAAGCTGTAGGGCTCAATGGTGGTAGAGATATTCACTTTCAGGGAAATTTGCCTAAAGTTACCAATTTAGTAACTGAAGATCCCTCACCTTGCTTTCAAAAACAGCAGAGTTCCCTGGACACAGTTGGAAAAATCTCCATTTATGCTATAATGCCGTTTCTTGGAATGATCCAATTACATTTTCAGCCAATAGTGAATTCCTTTGCCATAAATTATAGTGAGTACAGAGTATAGAGCCCAACAGGATCTTGAGACCCAAGACACTGACAAAACACATTGTGAAGGATTTTCAAAGTGGCCAAGAGTTGGAATTTGGCACTTGTTTAGGGCAGCAAATCAGGGCTTACAGACCCGCATGATGTAGCAACAGGGGCCCTGGGACTTAAACCTATACTATCTTGAATTCAAAACTTTGAACAGCCATCAAATTTACTGAGGCTCAAGTCTTATTGTTTAATTCATCAAAGGATTGTTGTGATGTGGGGGGGGGGGGGGAATACATGGAGGATTCTTAGTTCAGTAGCAGAGAATGTGCTGTCCTTGAAAAAGGTTCACAGAGTCATAGGGTTGGAATGGACTACAAGGGACACTGGGTTCAACCTCCTTCTATCCTGGTAGCTTCAGTTAGAAGGATCAAGCCAGTGATGTCAAGGGTCTCTCCCCAGCTAAGACTCTGGGGTACAGCTGTCAATTAAAATAGACTGGATTATCTAGATTAGGGGGAGAGGACCATATGTCCTTCCAAATGGTGTTTAATTCCAACTCCTATTGCCACTTATTACTGAATATCTTGGCTAGGACAGACTGAACTTGCAGTTCAACATCATTTGGTTGGCCACATTGCCTATTACTAATCCAAAGGATGACTCTTTTGAGATATGGCATCTTATCATGTTTCATACAATGATAAAGTTGGAAGAGACCTCAAGGGCCAAACAGTCCAATCCTCTGCAAAGAAGCAGGAAAATCACATTCAAAGCACCCCCAACAGATGCCCCTCCAACCACTGTTTAAAAGCCCCCAAATAAGGAGCCTCCACCACACTCTGGGGCAGAGTGCTGAACAGATCTCACAGTTAGGAAGTTCTTCCTCATGTTCAGGTGGAATCTTCTTTCTTGTGGTTGGAAGCCATTGTTCCACACCCTAGTCTCCAGGGCAGCAGAAAACAAGCCTGCTCCCTCCTCCCTATGACTTCGCCTCACATATTTCTACCTGGCTCTCATCATGTCTCCTCTCAGCCTTATCTTCTGCAGGCTAAACATGCCCAGCTCTTTAAGTCACTCCTCATAGGGCATGTTCTCCAGACCCTTGATCATTTTAGTCACCCTCCTCTGGACATTTTCAGTGTGTCAACATCTCCCTTCAATTGTGATCAGAATTGGACACAGTGTTATTCCAGGTGGGGTTTGACCAAGGCAGAATAGAGAGGTAGTGACTTCTCTGGTTCTAGACACTAGACTCCTATTTATGTAGGCCAAAAACTCATTGGCTTTTTTAGCTGCCGCATGACAATGTTGGCTCATGTTTAACTTGTTGTCCATGAGAACTCCAAGATCTTTTTCGCACGTTCTGTGAAGACTAGACATCATTACTAATTCCTTTCCAGAGAATGTGGGTTAAGACAAATATATTGAGAAAAGATGGAGCTGTAATATTTTATAAATTATCCTAGTATACATTAAGGGGCCTGAAAAGGCTGTCTGTTCATACAGAGTTAAACAAAATACAATAACTGCAGGAGAGTTGTGCAAGGTTGCAAGCCAACAGATGGTTTCACAGCAAGAGATTGGTTTTTAAGACAAGCTTAGTCATCAGTGTGATTTATTAACCACATCTCTATTAGCATGGAAGAACTCAGCACAATGCATTTACCTCCACGATACTGGGCCTTCTCACCAGCTAAGCCAGCACCACTGCGAATATTTAAAAACTGTTCTCCCACTTGTTTCAGGTCAGAGTGGCTGACACCTGCAAGAAACGCCTGAGTCAGACAGAACAATGCAGGGCTTATCTCTATTTAAAAGAATACAGCACAGCTTTAAGATGCAGAGGTCGGCTGACATACCTAGTCCCACCAGAGCCATTCGGGCACTTGTAAAGTTGTTCTGTACAAACTGGTGCAGCTGTGATGAAGACAGGGATACACATTTTAATATTTTATCCAGAGTAGAAATGTAAGCAGAGTCCTGCAGGCTCACATCAAATATACATCTCTATTTTTACCAGATGCCTCCCCAGTTGTATAATATGCTGCATCTAAACTTAAAGGTTACGTCTATATAACTTAATTGTTCATTCATAACTTGGCATTCATTCAATGGCTTTGTCTGATCTCTGTTTTAAAGCGATATAAGCTAGTTAGCCATTGCTCCATTAACACGAATTCTACATGTTAAACACACACAATATGAAGTCCTTCTAATACTTGTAGATTACCAGAGTGGTAGCATAGCGCTATGCTACTCTGCTGCTGAGTATGCATGCCCAGTGTGGAACACATCTCACCACGCTAAAACAGTGGATATGGCTCTTAATGAGACATGCCGCATTATCACAGGGTATCTGCGTCCTACACCACTGAAGAAATTACACTGTTTAGCTGGTATTGCACCACCTGACATCCGTCGGGAAGTAGCAACCAATAGTGAAAGGACCAAAGCAGTGTCATCTCCAGCTCATTCCCTGTTTGGGTATCAGCCAGCACGTCAACGACTTAAATCAAGAAATAGTTTTCTAAGATCTACAGAGACACTCGCTGGAACACCTCAGCAAGCGAGAGTCCAAAAGTGGCAGGCTAAAACCCAGAACCTCAACCAATGGCTGATACCAAATGAGATACTCCCTCCTGGGCACACAGAAAACTGGGCGACTTGGAACGCGCTAAACAGGCTGTGCTCTGGCACCATGAGATGCAGAGCCAACCTTAAGAAATGGGGCTACAAAGTGGAATCCACGACATGCGAGTGTGGAGAAGAGCAAACTACAAACCACCTGCTGCAATGCAACCTGAGCCCTGCCACATGCACAATGGAAGACCTTCTTGCAGCAACACCAGAGGCACTCCAAGTGACCAGATACTGGTCAAAGGACATTTAATCAACTACCAAGCTTGCAAACTTTGTTTTATTTGTTTGTTTGTTAAAAAATGCAATGCAACTGTTTGGTCTGCCCCTGACACGATAAATAAATAAATACCAGAGTGGTGGCGATTCCACTGAATGAACAGAACCCTCATTAAAAGAATGGTAATGGCATGTGTGAAGACCAGGGATGTTTCTTGGACTCTTCCGCTCCCATCAAACCTCATCAGCGGCAAATGTCTGCCAGTACTACCCAAGTTCCATGAACTGCTACTGGCAGTGGACCTCTCTGGCCTCAAGAAACAGGCATTTCCCACAATTTGCTACCTGAGATCCAACTGGAGATACAGTATCTAAATTGCAAGATACTCTACATCATAATTGAATTACAATTTTGCCACTGCCCCAGGAGGCTTTTAATCACGTTCCAATTATGATTACTGCAAACCAGGAAGCAGAGAATTGAAAGTGAAATATGAGCATATAAGCCTGAGGTCAAACCACAGGCTTCACTATAACATCTTAGGACAAGGCCAATATTCAGATGTACCTGTTCTGATGTAATCTTCCCAACCATATAGTCTGGACAGTATAAGGAATTGGAAAGGGCGTTTCGATAAGCTGCTGCATGCAAATTTTCAAGGACACCTGCACATAAAAGAAAGGGTTTTACTATATCACGGAAATGACCCAAAGGTACTCATGCTTAAGCTTGCCTTAAACAATAAAGTAATATCCTTGCACAAATGGACCACATGGCTTTGAAACGCTCTCCCCTGGGAACTTAGGCAAGCCCCCACACTACAGCAAATTTGGAGAGCTAAAAACATGTTTTTTCAGCAGACTTTTGACAATGTTTAAGATAGTAGCCAGACTGATTGCCTATTACTTTAGCACCTTAAATCTATTCTCTGATGGGTATACAGCTGGGATGCTAAATTGATTATATGGATCTTTTAATCAATGGCTATAGCCATATTAACTGACTCTGTTTAACGGAGATTACTTTTGTTAATTTTGTATGTCTGCTTTTATGTAAATGTGTTATTGATTTTATATGTTGATATATTGCACTTTATGTGTTGTATGGCACCATTGAGTGCTATTTTGTAAGCCGCCCCGAATCCCTATGGGAGATGGTTATGGGGCATAAAGAAAGCATTATTTATTTATTATCTACTGGAAAAAGAGCACCAATGTTTTCTGTCCAGTTTATTCTAAAGCAGGGTGTGCAATGGCCCACAAAATATTGTGGGACTAAAATTCTCAGTTCCTATAATGTCAAGAGATTGTGGGAACTGAATTCCAGCAATATCTGGAATTACTGAATGCTTGTGTAAGAAATATCTAGAATTGTCCTTCAGCCCACTGAAACTATCTAGCAATCAAAGGGCTAAGGAAATCTCATAGTCCACAAAAGTATTTTCTTTGAAAAACAGGTTTCATTTCAAGAGCTGCCACTGAAACTCAACTTGGCACATAAGCATGCTGTCCAATTCCATATCTCCAATTTCTTATGACATACCACATTAAACATCCTTAACAGAATACATCTTCAATTTCCAAAGACAAAAATTTAGTACTAGAGGTGGTTCATGGGGTTTATTTTGTTAGTTTCTCCCAAGTACTATCAGAGAAAGAGTGTGATGATACTCACACAAAACTAGTTTCGATTCAACAAAAAAGCAGATATGAAGGCCATTTTTAAAAACTCCCTGGAAGCAACCAGTTCTGGCAAGGGCAATCTGCCCCTTCTTCCACCAGGAGGGAAGGGGAGAGAGAAAAAAGAAGGCTGGACAAAGAGAAAGGTGATGTCACACATTTGGCCTCTGTCTAATATAACCTCTAACACAGTGGTTCTCAACCTGTAAGTCCCTAGATGTTTTGGTCTTCAACTCCCAGAAATCCTAACAGCTGGTAAACTGGGTGGGATTTCTGGGAGTTGTGGGCCAAAACACTTGGGGACCCACAGACTGAGAATCACTGCAACCGAAAAAAGCTTCTTTATCTTTTAAAAAATTATTGTTGGGAGTATAGCATTTTAGGAACACTTACCAACTTGCGGGTTTTGAAAGGCAATTGCCTTATCAATTCTTAAGCGGGGATTCACACCAGCTACTTCCCAGCGCCTGAATTCTGGAGCCGTAGTAACATTTATTAGATATTCCAGGACAGTATCTCTGAATAAATCAAGCAAAATTATATATATATTTAAGAAGACTCAAAACAACCAGTGTTCCTTAAATTGCAAAATATGTCAAGGATAAGACATATAATATAAAACTTTTTAAGAGACATGTGTATTAACAGTTAGCATGCTGGCTTGGGCCAATGGGAGTCCTAGTATAAAAATATGGAAGACACATATTTGAGGGAGGCAGGAGAAAAAGCAATGTAAAATCTTCCTTCCAAATGTATGTACAAAAAGTAGCTAGAGAGCACTCAAATGTGTGGAGACATTTTAGTGTGAACCTCTTGAAGGCAGAAACATACAATAGTCCCATGATCAGGGAAATCTGAAAAAGGCAATGTACTCAGGAAAAAGAAAAAGGAAATATAAAGCAAGAAAGCACTTCTTATTTTCTGGTTAACAAACAACTATGTGTCAAAATTCTGAGAATAAAACGGGACTGCATAATTCAAGAGATGGAGAAAAAATACTATTGTGCAATGACTTTTTGTAGCTCCAAGGATCAGAAAGCTTGCTAAATGCCTTGAAAAGCAATTTGCTATACATGAGGATACTTACATATAGTCACGCAAACATTCAACCGAATAAACCATGTTCTCTCTAGTAGAAGTCACACTAAAGGAGAATTTGAGAAAGACATTTTCAGGATTTGAATGTGTTAATACCAAGTCTACTGCATGGATTTGCAGTTAAGGTTCCTCTTTAGGTATGGTTTCTTTATCACCCTTAACATGAAATCCCATTGCCATAGATTTCTTCAAAAGACAGATGAGCCTCAAGGAATTACAAACCTTAGGCTACCGCCAACAGCTTCAATGCCACGGGTTATCCTGAAGGAAGAGGCTCCTTTTGTAGTCTGCAGGAAAAAACAACATTTTAAGCATCAACTGCTAATATCATGTCAAAGTTCTTCAAAAATAATTTTAATTTGACTATGAATCAGTAAAGAACATCAGCCAAATTGGAAATCATTGGCTTATTTACTTCAGAAMTGGGATTGGTTTATTTACTTCAGAAGTGGGAGAGTTCTTACTAGAGAAGGGGTTGGGGGGGGGGGGGCTCAAGTGGCAAAACGCTGAGCTTATCAATCTATTACAGATCATATTTATTCAATTCCAACATCAAAACAAGCTATAGGCTGTGTGTCTGTAATCATAGGTTGGCACAATTTTGACTTAACCTTGATTGGAAACTGCTTCTCCCCAAAAATGGAATCCAAAAATATACTAGTTTCTGCTTAACATAGTAGCAGAAATATTTAGTTTATAGCACTCATACTGAACATTTACCACCATTGTGAAAAATAACAACAACAACAACAACTTTAGGGATCGGGGCTTACATACGGCACAATGTGCATGGAACAATGCAAGAAAAAAAAACACGATATGAGATAAAACCACAGAATATAAAACAATTGTTTAAACTTAAAACAGTGCCCAATGACCTATGGTGAAGACTTTTGCAATGGGGCTGTACCTGCCCAATTTTCAATCCTAACAGTCATACTCTTTTTGCTGTTTCAGACTGGAGGTGAATTTTTTTTACAGCTGAGGCCACCAAAAATTATAATTATGGAACAAAAAGGTCTGATGGGATAGGCTTACAATGGAAAGGCGTTTTTTGGGGGGAGGCACAAACATACTTTGGGGAAACACTTCTTTCTCGGAGGTCATATCAGATGACTTGTATGATGCAATGTGGTCCATGGGTTACACACTCTCTCCATTTTAGGGTCATAGTTCTAAACAGGAACCCAAATCTAACCTAATCAAAAGAGAAAAACTCACCAGGTTTGATGCAAGACGGAGCAGATGAGCGGTACCCAAATTGGTGCTAGACTCATATCTGCTGCCTGCTTTGATGAAGACACCAATTCTTGAATTTGGAGAATGATTTTCCAAAGAAGCAATCACCAAACCATTTGGCAGTTTTGTGATCTGCATTAAGGTGAAGAGACATCAGTTAAAATCACACTGTTCTTCTCTGATCGCTTCTAATTGTAAAAAATAGTAAAACATAAAGCAATTTCAACTTTTAGACTGACCTCAAGCTCTTGAGGGTGCAGCTGTATTTTCGCTCGTTCTGCTGTCGCAGAAGCTTGTGCTTTTGGTGCAACTTTGAGAGAATACCATCTCCTCTAAACAAGAGCGCATGAACAATCAAAAGTTAGAGTTTGACCAAATACATTTCATTTTCATTAGTAAAATCAAGACTAATTAGAAAACACAATATTGGTAAGTATGGAAAGTAGTAGGAAAGGGGAAATGCAGCATTAAAGATGGATGGACTCAATAAAGTCACAGCCCTGAGTTGCAAGACTGGGGCAGGGTTGTTGAAGACAGCGTGATCTTGGATGTCTTCACTTGTGGGGACATTGTAAGTCAAAGGTGACTTGACAGTAATTGACAATTACATTTAATAAAATATTAACTTCTGTTTGAACAATTTATGCCTCGAGATCACTTCTGTTTCATTTCTTGTAAAAAATGTAATGGTTTTTAGGGAGAAGCATTCAGAATTCTCAGGTAAGAGCTCCAGAGTCCCACCAAATTAAAAACCTCAGAATGCCACAGAATCATAATTGTTGGAAGAGAATGCAAGGTCTGTCCAATTCAGCATCATTCTGCCATGCAAGGAACAACATCAAAGCAGTCCTGACAGATGGCTATCCAGCCTCTAATTAAAAACCTCCGGGGGAGGGGGGGGCCACCACACTCCAAGACACCACTGAACAGCTCCTACTGTCAGGAAGGATTGCCTAACATTTGGTAGAATATCTTTTATCTAGTAATATGTAATAATGTGTCATGTACTACTACTACTACTACTAATAATAATAATAATAATGTGACAGAGACCAATAATAATAATGTCAGGGATCAATAATACTAATAATGTGGCAGGGACAAATAATAATACTACTAATATGACAGGGGCAAATAATGATGATGATGATAGTACTAATAATGTGACAGGCACCAATAATAATAATAATAATAATAATATTAATAATGTATCAGGGAGCAATAATAATAATAATAATAATAATAATAATAATAATAATAATAATGTGTCAGGGACCAATAAGAATAATAATAGTAATAATGTGACAGGGAATAATAATAATAAAATAATGTTTCAGGGCCCAATAATAATAATAATAATTTGACAAGAACAAATAATAATAATAATCTTTATTTATACCCTGCCACCATCTCCCCAATGGGGACTCGGAGTGGCTTACATGGGGCCAAGCCCGGACAACATGTTACAGCAAAATAAAACCAGAACATAAACAACAAGCAATATCATTAAAATTACATAGAAAAAAATAATGATAATAAAAATAATGCAATAGTAATAACAATATGACAGAGTCAAATAATAATAATAATAATAATAATAGTAATAATAATGTAACAGGAACAATTAATGATAATAACATAAATAATGTGACAGGGATTAGTAATAATAATGTGTCAGAGACCAATAATAATGACAATAGGTTCTTGTGGGTTTTTTCGGGCTATAGGGCCATGTTCTAGAGGCATTTCTCCTGACGTTTCGCCTGCATCTATGGCAAGCATCCTCAGAGGTAGTGAGGTCTGTTGGAATTTGGACAATGGGTTTATATATCTGTGGAATGGTTGGGGTGGGGCAAAGAGCTCTTCTCTGCTGGAGCTAGGTGTGAATGTTTCAACTGACCACCTTCATTAGCATTTGAAGGCCTGGCCTGAGCCTGGGAAAATCTGTTGCTGGGAGGTGTTAATCTGTGCCTGGTTTTTTCCTCTCTGTTGTTTAGCTGTTATAATTTTAGAGTTTTTTAATACTGGTAGCCAGATTTTGTTCATTTTCATGGTCTCTTCCTTTCTGTTGAAATTGTCCACATGCTTTGTGGATTTCAATGGCTTCTCTGTGTAGTCTGACATGGTGGTTGTTGGTGGTCCAGCATTTCTGTGTTCTCAAATAATATGCTGTGTCCAGGCTGGTTCATCAGGTGCTCTGCTATGGCTGACTTCTCTGGTTGAAGTAGTCTGCAGTGCCTTTCATGTTCCTTGATTGGTGTTTGGGCAATGCTGCGTTTGGTGGTCCCTATGTAGACTTGTCCACAGCTGCATGGTATACGGTAGACTCCTGCAGAGGTGAGAGGATCCCTCTTGTCCTTTGCTGAACGCATTTGTTGGATTTTCTTGGTGGGTCTGTAGATAGTTTGTATGTTGTGTTTCCTCATCAGCTTCCCTATGTGGTCAGTGGTTCCCTTGATGTATGGCAAGAACACTTTTCCTCTGGGTGGATCTTCATCTTTACTCTCGTGGCTTGTTCTTGGTCTTGCAGCTCTTCTGATGTCTGAGTTGGAGTATCCATTGGCCTGTAGAGCCCAGTTGAGGTGGTTCAGTTCATCTTGGAGGAGGTGGGGTTCGCAGATTCTTTTTGCACGGTCTGCCAAGGCTTTAATGGTGCTTCTTTTTTGACTTGGGTGATGGTGATGGTAAGTAATGTTACAGGAATAAATAATGATACTGATATAACAATAATTATAAACCTTTATTTATACCCCGCTAACATCTTGGTGCGGCTTACATATTAATAAATATGATAGGGACTAATAATAATACGTCCGAGACCATTAATAATAATAATAATAATAATAACAATAATAGTATTACAGGAACAAATAAAGGTAATAATAACAATAATGTGTCAGTGACTAATAATAATTATTATAAGGTGTCAGAGACCAATAATAATGTATCAGAGACCAATAATAATAATAATGTTACCGGAACAAATAATGATAATAATATCAATAATGTGTCAGGGACTAATAATAATAAGGTGTCAGAGACCAATAATAACGTGTTCGAGACCAATATAATAATAATAATAATAATAATAATAATAATGTGTCAGGAACAAATAATGATAATAATAACAATAATGTGTCAGGGACTAATAATAATAAGGTGTCAGAGACCAATATAATAATAATAATAATAATAATAATAATAATGTGGCAGGAACAAATAATGATAATAATAACAATAATGTCAGGAAATAATAATAATAATAATAATAATAATAATAATGTGTCCGAGACCAATAATAATAATAATAATAATAATATGGCAGGAACAAATAATGATAATAATAACAATACTGTGTCAGGGACTAATAACGATAATGTAACAAAATGACAGGCCCAAATAATAATAATAATAATAATAATAATGTATCAAAGACCAATAATAATAATAATAATAATAATAATAATGATGTGACAGGAACAAATAATACTAATAGTGTGTCAGGGACCAATAATAATAATAATCTGTTAAGAACCAATAATTATAATTACAATAATGTGACAGGGACCAATAATAATAATAATAATAATAATGCGACACAATAATAACAATGACAGTCAGAATAGCGGTGCTACTTCCTCGCCCCAAGGACTACCGAGGGAGCAAGGCCCGGATGCCCTCCAGCTCCAGCTCCCCGCCGGGCTCCGCCAAGGTCGTCCCTCCTCTTCCCTTCCTTTCCCTTCCCGGGGCAAAGCTCCGTCCCGCTCCCCCCAGGCCCGGGCCTCTCCTTCCTCCTCCTTCCCGGCTCCCCTCCCGGCCTCCCTCGCTCACCGAGAGGCACCGGGCCGCCGCCGGGATGGGCCTCATCGCTGCAGAACACCGAACCCTCCCTCAGGAAGAAGGCCAAGATGGCTACGCAGGAAGCGGAAGTCTCCGCCGTTCCCAGCATCCACCGCGCAGAGCTAAATCATAGAGATTCTACACTCCCATGCCTTGCTCCCCAGATGTGATTCAAGAGTGTGGTCAAAATGGTGTCCTCGAAGACACGTCCGGTTCCTTATCGCAGCTGATTGAAAGACTCCAACCACTGCACTAGAGGGTCACAGCAAAGAGCTAGCTGTTGCCCCAAGAGGTCACTAGAGGGTCACAGGAAAGAACAGCTCTTACCCCAGGAGATCACTAGAGGGTCATGGGAAAGAAACAGCTGTTACCCCAGGAGGTCATTAGAGGGTCACAGGCAAAAGCCAGTGGTTAGCCCAAGAGGTCACTAAAGGGTCACGAGAAAGAACCAGCTGTTACCCCAAGAGTCACTAGAGGGTCACAGCAGAGAGCCAGCTATTACCCCAAGGGGTCACTAGGAGGTCATGGGAAAGAGCCAGGTGTTACTCCAGGGTGTCACTAGAGGGTCACAGGAAAGAGCCAGCAGTTACTCCAAGGGATCATTAGAGGGTTGTGGGGAAAAGCCAGCTGTTACCCCAAGAAGTCACTAGATCAGTGGTTCTCAACCTGGGGTCCCCAGATGTTCTTGGCCTTCAACTCCCAGAAATCCTAACAGCTGGTAAACTGGCTGGGATTTCTGGGAGTTGTAGGCCAAAACACCTGGGGACCCACAGGTTGAGAACTACTGCGCTAGATGGTTGTGGGAAAGTTACCTGAAGAGACCACTAGGAGTTTGCCATGGAGAGCTAAACCATTCAGGAGTGCTCACTACATGAGGGACAGAGAAAGTATGGCTTTGTGTTTCATTCTGGTGATAGAACCATCCCAACAATCATAATACTAACAATTATTTTTACTAATAAATACCATTACAAAACACAAAACCAGGCAACACTGGGTATTTAAGCTAGTCAATATATAGACTATAGCATAGCTGGGCTATATCTCAGTTGATAAATCACCAGCAGCAGCAATAAGATCTACCAACCCAAAGGTTGCCAGTTCGAAGCTCGGGTTGGAGTGAGCACCCGCCTGTCAGCCCAGCTCACTGTTTACCTAAGCAGTTCGAAAACAATTTAGAGCTGTAAGTAGAGAAACTTAAAGCAGGGGAGGTATTTTACAATACCATAAAAGAAAAAGACCACAAAATGTAGCGACCAAAAGGAAGGAGGAAGTCCTGTTGGCTTTTAGTCACAGAGGATGGAGTGACAGCACTCCCTGTGGCTGGATTGAGCACAACACACCTCCTTTCTGTTTGTTCTGTTCTTGTCTGTCCTACAGTGTTGAATGTTTGCCATGTATGTGTACTGTGATCTACCCAGAGTCTCCTTGAGGAGATAGGCCACGGTAGTCCACGCTCTGGTTACATCCCGTTTAGACTACTGCAACGCTCTCTACATGGGGTTGCCTTTGAAGACAGCTCGGAAGCTCCAACTAGTCCAACGCTCGGCAGCCATGATTTTAACAGGAGCGGAGCGCAGGGAGCATACAACCCCCCTGTTGCACCAACTCCACTGGCTACCGATCTGCTACCGGGCTGAATTCAAAGTGCTGGCGTTGGCCTTTAAAGCCCTAAACAGTTCCGGCCCAAGCTACCTATCCGACCGCATCTCTGCCTATGAACCCACCAGGACTTTGAGATCTTCCGGGGAGGCCCTGCTCTCGATCCCGCCTGCTTCTCAAGCACGGCTGGCGGGGACGAGAGATAGGGCCTTCTCGGTGGTGGCTCCTCGGCTGTGGAACGCCCTTCCTATGGACATTAGACTAGCACCATCTCTAATGGTATTCCGCAAAAAAGTGAAGACCTGGCTGTTTGAGCAGGCGTTCCAATAATTAGTGCAATGATTGGTTAATGAACACTGGAATGGAACAATGGATGACGAATCTGGAACATGTTTTTGATGATGAGACGATAGTGAATGGCTATTGTAGTAATTGTTAATTGATAATTGTTTATTGTTATTAAGTGTGCAACTTTATTAAGTTGATAACTGCTTTTATACTGTAACATTGAATTCTGTTGTCTCTTGTGTTGTGAACCGCTGTGAGTCGCCTTCGGGCTGAGAACGTATATAAGCAAGGTAAATAAATAAATAAATAGGGTAGAATACAAATAAGGTGTTGTTGTTGTTTTTGTTATAGTCAAAGTCTACATGTACAGTGGTGGTTGGTTGCCTTGTACCAAAAAGTCTCTTTGATTGTTTAATGGATCTAGACCAAACGTGGCACACATTCCTTTCATTATCCAACTTAATGTAACTCAGGGTATGAACTAGACAAAACCACCCCTTTCAGACCCAAAGCTGAAAGAAAGAAAAAGAATAAAGCAGATTGGCTGCTGTTAGGTAAAGTGGCCCTCTGTCACTCCCAAACAACTTCTCGTACCTCCCAGCTAGCTTCTTGTAATAGTGCCTTGCCAGTCTTCTCAAACCTGGTGCCTTGGGATAATAGAATCGATCCAAGAGCTGAAAGAGATCTCAAGGGACATCCAGTCCAACCTCAGATCAGGCATGGGCAAACTTTCTTCCGAGTCTAGCATTCTGATTCAGCAGAGGTTGGATGGTCATTTGTTGGGAGGGCTTGGATTGTGCAAAAGTTGGGTTGCAATTAAACATAAAAAACCAAGATTATGGCAACAGAATGATTGATAACTGGGAAATAGAGGGAGAAAACGTGGAGGCAGTGATAGACTTTGTATTTCTAGGTGCAAAGAATTACTGCAGACGCAGACTGCAGCCAGGAAATCAGAAGATGTTTACTTCTTGGGAGGAGAGCAATGACCAAGCTCGATAAAATAGTGAAGAGTAGAGACATCACACTGGCAATGAAGATCCACATAGTTAAAGCAATGGTATTCCCTGTAGTAACCTACAGATGTGAGAGCTGGACCATAAGGAAGGCTGAGTGAAGGAAGAGAGATGCTTTTGAACTGTGGTGTTGGAGGAAAATTCTGAGAGTGCCTTGGACCGTGAGAAGATCCAATCAATCCATACTCCAGGAAATAAAGCCCAACTGCTCGTTGGAGGGAAGGATATGAGAGGCAAAGATAAGTACTTTAGCCACATAATGAGAAGACAAGAAAGCTTAGAGAAGAGAATGATGCTGGGGAAAATGGAAGGAAAAAGGAAGAGGGGCTGACCAAGGGCAAGATGGATGGATGGTATCCTTGAAGTGACTGGCTTGACTCTGAAGGAGCTGGGGGAGGTGACGGCTGACAGGGAGCTCTGGCGTGGGCTGGTACACAAACTAAAAACATAGAAGACAAAGTAGCAATTTATTTATTTATCGTGTCAGGAGCGAACCAAACAGTTGTATTGCATTAAAAACAAACAAACAAAACACAAAGTTTGCAAACTTGGTAGTTGATTAAATGTCCTTTGACCAGTAGCTGGCCACTTGGAGTGCCTCTGGTGTTGCTATAAGAAGGTCCTCCATTGTGCATGTAGCAGGGCTCAGGTTGCATTGCAGTAGGTGGTCTGTGGTTTGCTCTTCTCCACACTCGCATGTGGTGTGGATTCCACTTTGTAGCCCCATTTCTGAAGATTGGCTCTGCATCTCGTGGTGCCAGAGCACAGTCTGTTCAGCACCTTCCAAGTCGCCCAGTTTTCTGTGTGCCCAGGGGGGAGTCTCTCATTTGGTATCAGCCATTGATTGAGGTTCTGGGTTTTAGCCTGCCACTTTTGGACTCTTGCTTGCTTAGGTGTTCTTGCGAGTGTCTCTGTAGATCTTAGAAAACTATTTCTTCCCATAAGAGAAATATTCATTAAGAACACTATCTGACTATTCCATTTCTGTTACCTCTAAGAAGAATATATACTAGGGCTAGGTTTGAACAACTCGGTATTATGAGGCAAACCGGGTGTTTCTGTAACATCCCAAGAAGTGAGAGATTCTGTGTATGGGGAGAACAAACAGTAGAAGATATTGAACACTTATTAATTGATTGTCCAGCATATGCTGAACTGCAATACAGATATTTACATCCAATATTATCCAACTGCAGGTCCCCCAACAGAAATGATCTTCTGACATTCCTCTTGCAAGGACAATAAAGATCTACCAGTAAGCCTTTTTATTCTGAAAGCTATAAACAAAGAGCACATTTCCTGAAAGGAGAACCAGGACAATAAGACTCTGAATTGTAAATAGAAGGTCAGCTGCTGTCCTCTCCTTTTTGCCTTGTATTTTATTTGTGTTGTATTTTGAAATGGTCATATGTCTAATCAAATAAATTATTATTATTATTATTATTATTATTATTATTATTATTAATAATAATAATAATATTATCATTAGCTGTCCCCTGCCACGCCTGGTGATCTGAAAAATAAAGTAAGTATAGTATAGGTTTCTAAGATATGGAATTTCTTTATGCTTGTGGGTAAACAGTATTTCTTGCTGTTTCTTTGTCAGTGTTGATGTGGAGATTGTCTGGTTTGCCTACTCTGGAACATGCAACATATCATTGTTCTTCTTTAGGATTCCCTTTCAAATCTATGATACTATATCTCTCTGTGTGTGAATTGTATCTATCTATCTATATCTATCTATGGCTGGATGGCTCTTTGGCAGGAGGGCTTTGATTATGTTTTCTTGCCCTGGTAAAGGGAGTTGAATTGGATGGCCTTAAGTATTTTCTGTTCATGGGGGTTTTGTGTAGGAAGTTTGCCCCAATTCTGTCATTAGTGGGGTTCAGAAGGCTCCTTGATTGTAGGTGAACTATAAATCCCAGTAGCTACAACTCCCAAATATCAAGGTATATTTTCCCCAAACTGTGTTCATATTTGGGCATATGGAATATTCGTGCCAAGTTTGGTCCATATCCATCATTGTTTGAGTCCACAGTGCTTTCTGGATGTAGGTGAATTACAACTCCCAAACTCAGGGTCAATGCCCATCAATGCGCATGTTAGTCATGGGAGTCCTGTGTGCCACATTTGGTTCAATTCCATCATTGGTGGAGATGAACTATAAATCCCAGTAGCTAGAACTCCCAAATGTCAATGTCTATTTCCCCCAAACTCCATCTGTGTTCATATTTGTGCATATGGAATATTCGTGCCAAGTTTGGTACAGATCCATCATTATTTGAGTCCACGGTGCTTTCTGGATGTAGGCAAACTACAACTCCCAAACTCAAGGTCAATGCCCATGTTAGTCATGGGAGTTCTGGGTGCCAAGTTAGGTTCAATTCCATCATTTGTAGAGTTCAGAATGCTCTTTGATTGTAGGTGAACTATAAATCCCAGTAGCTATGACTCCCAAATGTCAAGGTCTATTTTCCCCAAACTCCATCTGTGTTCATATTTAGGCATGTGGAGTATTCATGCCAAGTTTGGTTCACATCCAACAGTCCACAATGCTCTCCGGATGTAGGTGAACTACAATTCCCAAACTCAAGGTCAATGCCAACCAAATCCTTCCAGAAATTTCTGTTGGTTTTGGGAGTCCTATGTGCCAAGTTTGGTTCAATTCCATCGTTGGTGGAGTTCAGAATGCTCTTTGATTGTAGATGAACTATAAATCCCTGTATCTACAACTCCCAAATATCAAGGTGTATTTTTCCCAAACTGTGTTCATATTTGTGCATATGGAATATTCGTGCCAAGTTTGGTCCAGAACTATCATTGTTTGAGTCCATAGTGCTCTCTGGATGTAGGTGAACTACAACTCTGAAACTCAAGGTTAATGCCCATCAATGCCCATGTTAGTCATGGGAGTTCTGGGTGCCACGTTTGGTTCAATTTCATCCTTGGTGGAGTTCAGAATGCTCCTTGATTGTAGATTAACTATAAATTCCAGCAACTCCCAAATGACAAAATATTTTTTTTTTTAGTTATGGTCACTCCTTGGGTTAGCAGATGTCTTGTGGCCAAATTTGGTGTCAATTCGTCCAGTGGTTTTGAGTTATGATGTCACTCAAAATGAACAGACATTTTCTTTATATATTCTGCGAACCCCACCTCCTCAAGATGAACTGAACCCCCAACTGGGCTCTCCAGGCCAATGGATACTCCACCTCAGACATCAGAAGAGCTGCAAGACCAAGAACAAGCCACGAGAGTAAAGACAAAGATCCACCCAGAGAAAAAGTGTTCCTGCCATACATCAAGGGAACCACTGACCACATAGGGAAGCTGATGAGGAAACACAACATACAAACTATCTACAGACCCACCAAGAAAATCCAACAAATGCTACGTTCAGCAAAGGACAAGAGGGATCCTCTCACTTCTGCAGGAGTCTACCGTATACCATGCAGCTGTGGACAAGTCTACATAGGGACCACCAAACGCAGAGCCCAGACACGATCAAGGAACATGAAAGGCACTGCAGACTACTTCAACCAGAGAAGTCAGCCATAGCAGAGCACCTGATGAACCAACCTGGACACAGCATATTTGAGAACACAGAAATGCTGGACCACTCTCACAACCACCATGTCAGCCTACACAGAGAAGCCATTGAAATCCACAAGCATGTGGACAATTTCAACAGAAAGGAAGAAACCATGAAAATGAACAAAATCTGGCTACCAGTATTAAGAAAACTGAAACAAACAGGCACATAAAATCACTCTCAACAAAAGATTCCCCCCAGGCGCTTCCAAGCCATTGAATGCTAATCAAGGTGATCAGCTGAAACATTCACAGCTAGCCCCAGCAGACAAAAGTCCTTTGTCTCACCCTGGTCATTCCACAGATATATAAACCCATTTTTTCCTAGTTCCAACAGACCTCATTACCTCTGAGGATGCTTGCCATAGATGCAGGCGAAACGTCAGGAGAAAAATTGCCTCCAGAACATGGCCATATAGCCCGGAAAAACCTACAACAACCCAAAAAAAAAAAAGCCATTGATTGAGGCTCTGGATTTGAGCCTGCCACTTTTGGACTTTCGCTTGCTGAGGTGTTCCAGTGAGTATCTCTGTAGGTCTTAATAATAATAATAAGAAGAATAATAAGAATAATTTATTTATACACCACTCCATCTCCCCCAGGGGGACTCAGGGCAGCTTACATGAGGCCACGCCCATCAATACAATAAAATAAAACTATTTCTTGATTTAATTTTTTGACTGAACGAATAAACAACAACAACAACTTGGATTGTGCCTGGCAGAAGAGGGTTGGATTGGCAAGCCCTTGGGGTCTCTTCCAAGTCTAGCATGGACTTGACCAGAGGCTGAGACAAAAAAAGAAGCAGCGCGCCCGCTAGGTGGCGCCGGACTCTGCCTCTTCCTCCATCCCTGCCAGGTGGGCCGCCTCCTCGGCCAATCAGAGCGCCGCCTTCCCAGGGCAGAGCTCTCACTCTGGGAGAGAGGGCGGCGGGGGGACCCTTTGCTTTCCTTCCTTCCTTCGTTCATCCTTCTCCGGAGCCTTGGCCATGAGCGGGGCCCCATCCTTCCTGGGCGCCGCGGAGGTGGAAGCCTCCCTGCCCCGCGCCAGCCTCCTCCTCGCCCCGCTGGAAGCCGCCCTGGCAGACTTCTCCAAGGGAAGCGCCGGAGGAGTGGTCCAACCTGTCCGCACCGTGGTGCCAATCCGCAACTATAGCGGGTTAGGAGCGGGAGAGGGTGTGGGGTGCATGTGTGTGTGTGGCTCTCCCTTCTAGAGATGTTGCTTTGCTGCAAATAGAAGGGATTTTGCTTTGCTTTCTTCCACCTAATCCAGATCAGGTATGGACAAAGTTGGGGCTTCCAGGTGTTTTGGACTGCAACTCCCACCATTCCTAACAGCCTCAGGCCCCTTCCTTTTCCCCCTCAGCGCTTAAGCGGCTGAGGGGGAAAAGGAAGGAGCCTGAGGCTGTTAGGAATGGTGGGAGTTGCAGTCCAAAACACCTGGAAGCCCCAACTTTGCCCATACCTGTGCCAAAGAGTGTTGACATTAGGAGGAGTTGCTCATTAACCTCTATGCTTGCTGGGTTTTCATTCTACTTGAAAGGATTGTTGTCATTCTGCTTCTCTTTCCCGCTCTCCAGCTTTTTAGGGGTCATGCCCGCTTACAGCGCCAACGAAGATGCCCTGACAACCAAGCTGGTGACCTTTTACGAGAACTCCAAGGACCCCACGGTTCCTTCCCATCAAGCTACCGTCCTCCTGTTTGATCCCAGCAATGGCTCCCTCCGAGCTGTAAGTCCCCAAATAAATCCCTTTTATACATGCTTTCCAATTAAAATAGGCACATATTATGAGTTTGCACTAGCCTCGGCCTGGCCATTCAATAGCGCTGAACAGGCAGGATTACTTTTATTTAAATATATCTGTGTTATTGTGTTAATTATATGCTTATGATGTTTTGTTAATTTTATGTCATGCTGTTTACTCTGTATGTTTTGGTGATGTTACTTGGAAACCACCTTGAGTCCCCCTCAGGATAGAGCGATATATAAATAAAGATTATTATTATTATTATTATTATTATTATTATTATTATTATTATTATTTGGAAAGGAGATTCCACTAGAACATTAGGAAGAACTAGTGGAACTCCCTGCAGTGGAACTCTCTGCCCCGGAGTGTGGTGAAGGCTCCTTCTTTGGAAGCTTTTAAACAGAGGCTGGATGGCCATCTGTCAGGGGTGATTTGAATGCAATATTCCTGCTTCTTGGCAGGGGGTTGGACTGGATGGCCCATGAGGTCTCTTCCAACTCTATGATTCTATGATTCCTAGCTGCGAGAGCTGTTCAGCAGTGGAACTCTCTGCCCTGGGCTGTGGTGGAGGCTCCTTCTTTGGAAGCTTTTAAGCAGAAGCTGGATGGCCATCTATTGGGAGTGCTTTGAAGGTGATTTTTCTACTTCTTGGTTGGGGGTTGGACTAGATGGCCCACAAGGTCTCTCCCAACTGTATGATTCTATGATTCTACCAAATGGGGACGAGAGATTGGCTGGGACGAGAGACAGAGCCTTCTGTTGGCCATCTGTTGGGAGTGCTTTGAATACGATTTTCCTGCTTCTTGGTGTTGGAGCATGCAAGGAATTAGTGAATGTGTGTGTGTCAACTGTAAAAGAAGATGCATTAAGCAATGCCCGGGGAGCAAGCTGAGCCTGGGACTTTTGGTTACTGTTACATTTTTGTTCAGGATTCGTCGAAGAAAATGTGTCAAGCTGTTCTGCTGCTTACAATGACTACAGTTCTACCTCATACCTGCAGAGCTGGCACCCATAGTTTCATGTACCCTCAAGGGTCTGGAGAACAAGCCTTATGAGGAGTGGCTTAAAGAGTTGGGAATGTTTAGCCTGCAGATGAGAAGACTGAGAGGAGACATGATAGACATGTATAAATATGTGATGGGAAGGCATGGGGAGAAGGGAGCAAGCTTGTTTTCTGCTGCCCTGGAGACTAGGACACGAAACAATGGCTTCAAACTACAGGAAAGGAGATTCCATCTGAACATTAGGAAGAACTTCCTGACTGTGAGAGCTGTTTAGTAGTGGAACTCTCTGCCCTGGAGTGTGGTGGAGGCTCCTCCTTTGGAAGCTTTTAAGCAGAAGCTGGATGGCCATCTGTTGGGAGTGCTTTGAATGCGATTTTTCTGCTTCTTGGCAGGGGGTTGGACTGGATGGCCCACCAGGTCTCTTCCCACTCTGATTCTATGATTCTACCAAATGGGGACAAGAGATTGGCGGGGACGAGAAACAGGGCCTTCTCGGTGGTGGCCCCTCAGCTATGGAACGCCCTCCATAGGGATATCAGTTCGGCTCCCTCCTTTTTAACATTCTGTAAAAAAGTCAAGACGTGGCCTTTTGAGCAAGCGTTTGCAAATGCAGAGTAACTGACATAGGAAAATGGAACAACTAGACTGTGGAATTGGACAATGCTTTTAAGAAGGAGACACTATGGATTTATGTTTTATTGATTTTGGTTATGGTTTTATTATATGTTAATGTTTTTAAGTGTATTTATGGTATTGTGGGCCTTGAGTCACCTGCGGGCTGAGAAAGGCAGTATACAAATACAGCAAATAAATAAATAAATAAATGCTGAGAAAATACCAGGTCTGGTTCTCAGCAGGAAAGAAGTTTGCGATTTCTTTGCGTCTTATCATGTTCTTTTCATGCCCATTTGCTTTTGAAAAGGTCATGGACGGCAGTGTCATCACAGCCAAGCGGACGGCTGCTGTTTCTGCCATCGCCACCAAGGTGAGTGCTTTTTGTGAAACAGGCTTATTATGCCAAGCTCTTTTTTTCTGTCAGAAGTGACTTGAGAAACTGCAAGTCACTTCTGGTGTGAGAGAATTGGCCATCTGAAGAGACGTTGCCCAGGGGATGCCCAGATGTGTTACTATCCTGTGGGAGGCTTCTCTCATGTCCCTGCATGGGAAACTGGAGCTGACAGATGGGAGCTCACCCCATCTTAAGGTCAGCAGTTCAGCTGGCACAAGGGTTTAACCCAGTGGTTCTTGACCTGTGGGTCCTCGGATGTTTTGACCTTCAACTCCCAGAAATCCTAACAGCTGATAAATTGGCTGGGATTTCTGGGAGTCGTAGGCCAAAACACCTGGGAACCCATAGGTTGAGAACCATTGGTTTAATCCATTGTGCCACTGTGACTACTTGTATGAATGCATTGAAAAGATGTCACAAAGGCTGGATCTACACTGCCCTATATCCTGGGATCTGATCCCAGATTATCTGCTTTGAACTGGATTATATGAGTCTGCAATTCAGATAATCTGGGACAAATAGATAATTTGGGATCTGATCCTGGGATATAGGACAGTGTAGATCCATCCTTAGGCCCATTCAGCACTGCAATATAACATCCGGATTATCTGCTTTGAACTGGATTATATGAGTCTACACTCCAGATAATCTGGGACTCATATAATCCAGTTCAAAGCGGATCGTGTGGATTATCTGCTTTGATAATCTGGATTATTTGGCAATGTAGAAGGGGCCTGTGCTTATCTTGCTTCACTTAGCACAAATTGAAATGAAAGCAGCATAAATGGTTTTTTCCCTATCAAGCACGAATTATTATTATTATTATTATTGTTATTGTTATTGTTATTGTTATTGTTATTATTTGAAACACAAGATGAGTTCACAGCAGACAAGATCACTCTGCTGGCTGTTGTATTGGATCACATGTCAGACACTTCCCAAGTGTCTAGGACTGTGTGATGTATTGGCAAATATATGTGCAGATCCCAGTAAGATGGCCTTCTACAGCTGGCAAATGGTAATTTTGTCAGCGCCTGATTGTGTTTAAGTGCAGGCCAAGGTCTTTAGGTAATGCACCCAGTGTGCCGATCAACACTGAGTTCTCCTTGACTCGCTTGTGCCAGAGTCTTTACAGTTATTATTATTATTATTATTATTATTATTATTATTATTTAACATATTTTAGACAACACCAAACAGCAATCAAACTAATACAGATATAGAGAGAGTAACAAGTATACATGTTCCCTTCTACATTGCCATATGAAATCCAGATTATTTTTCTTCAAACTGGATTATATGGCAGTGTAGACTCATATAGTCCATGTGGATTTTCTGCTTTGATAATCTGGATTATATGACAGTATAGAAGAGGCCCGTGTTTGCACAACTAACCCATAAATGAATCTCATCCATTCAATGAGTATATTCCAATTAGGCTAAAATATCCTAAATGTTTGTTGTGAAGTCCAATGTGTATTAGACATTCTTCATTAGAAGAAGCCACTGACCAAATTCCTTTTTTCCTACTGGATATGTTTTCAGCTCCTAATGCCAGCGAATTCTGAAGTATTGTGCATCCTAGGCGCTGGAGTTCAGGCCTACAGCCACTATGACATTTTCACTGAATTATTTTCCTTTAAGGAGGTAAGAACCTCAGTTAAACAGTATTTGGTCAAGGAACTGTATTTGGTTAATTGCTGTTATTGTTATCTTCACTGTCATTGTTTATCTAGTGCCATCAGTGTGAGTTTCTGTTTGCAAGGATGAGAACAACAACAACACAACAGCCAGCCATGTCAAAAGGATGTCAAAGGGATACAATCTAATATACATAGAGTACTACACAATAATTGCATTGTGGTTTAACTGGCTACTTCCTGAGGCTTGTCCTTTGGAGAAGTAATTTCAATGCTCTTTAACTGACAATCCCAGGGTCTAGAATTAGTGTCATGGCAGCTAAAGTGGAATCATAACATTAGAGCTCACAATGAGCTCACACAAAGAGCTCACAATGGCTGGATCTGCACTACCATATAATTCAGATTATCAAAGCAGATAATGTGGATTATCTGCTTTGAACTGGATTATCTGAGTCTACCCTGTTCAAAGCAGATGATCTGGATTTTATATGGCAGTGTAGATCCAGTCTTGAGATCTTGGTGAGCTAAGGCAGGGAGACCATATTTATATTAGTGTATGCCTTTGCAGTGGAAGGCTCTTTTCCAAAGTGACACTTAGATCCCTTCTACAGTGAGATATAACCCAGTATATAATATCAGATAATCCACATTATCTGCTTTGAGCTGGATTATCCGAGCCTACACTGCCATATAGATAAAGGTAAAGCCTCCCCCTTGACAACTCTGAGGGGTGGTGCTCATCGCCATTTCTAAGCCGAAGAGCTGGCGTTGTCCATAGACACCTCCAAGGTCATGTGGCCGGCCTGACTGCATGGAGTACTGTTACCTTCTCGCCAGAGTGGTACCTATTGATCTACTTATATTTGCATGTTTTTGAACTGCTAGGTTGGCAGAAGCTGGGTCTAGTAGCAGGAGCTCCCCGCTCCCCGGAATCGAACCACCAACCTTTCAGTTAGCAAGTTCAGCAGCTCAGCGGTCCAATGCCATATAATCCAGTTCAAAGCGGACAATCTGGATTTTCATCTGGCAACGTAGATCCATTCCACACAGCTCGATAAAATCCACATTGAACCAGATTATGTGGTAATGTGGACTCAAATAACCCAGTTCAAAGCAGATACTGTGGATTCTCTGCCTTGATATTCTAGGTTAGATGGCTGTGTGGAAGGGCCCGCAGAAGGGGCTTAAGGCTGAATCTATTGTGCCTTGTATCCCAGGATCGGATCTCATATTATTTATTTTTATTTATTTTATTTATTTACTGGAGCCCCCGGTAGCGCAATGGGTTAAACCCCTGTGCTGGCAGGACCGAAGACCGACAGGTCGCAGGTTTGAATCCGGGGAGAGGCAGATGAGCTCCCTCTATCAGCTCCAGCTCCTCATGCAAGGACACGAGAGAAGCCTCCCACAAGGATGATAAAAACATCAATTCATCCGTGCGTCCCCTGGGCAATGTCACACCAGAAGCGACTTGCAGTTTTTCAAGTCGGTCCTGACACGACATAAAAAATAATTATTTACTATACTTGTACACTGCCTTTCTCAGCCTAAGTCTGACTTGGCCACGGTAGTCCATGCTTTGGTTACATCCCACTTAGATTACTGCAACGCTCTCTACGTGGGGTTGCCTCTGAAGACTGCCCGGAAGCTGCAGCAAGTCCAACGTGCAGCAGCCAGATTACTAACGGGTGCTGGGTACAGGGAGCACACCACTCCGCTGTTACACCAGCTCCACTGGCTGCCAATTAGCTTCCGAGCACAATTCAAAGTGCTGGGGTTAATCTATAAAGCCCTAAACGACTCCTGCCCTGTTTACCTCTCCGAACGTATTCTCCCTTATGAACCATCAAGATTATTAAGATTGTCTGGAGAGGCCCTGCTCTCGGTCCCACCGGCCTCGCAAGTGCGTCTGGTGGGGACAAGGGACAGGGCCTTCTCGGTGGTGGCCCCTCGACTCTGGAACTTTCTCCCACCGGAGGTCAGAACTGCCCCGTCTATCCTGACATTTAGGAAACGGGTGAAGACGTGGTTGTGGAGACAGGCTTTCGATGAATGAGACAACACCCTAGGATTTTGGATGGAAGATGATGTATATTTGATTTTAATATGACGACTGACCACCGTAGTTTTAAATATATTGTTATTTTAAATGTGTTACTGTAATTGTGAACTATGATATTTTACTGATTGTATGTGTTTTTATGGTTGGAAACCGGGCTGAGTCCCTCAATGAGGTGAGAAGGTTGGTATAGAAAACTTTGAAATAAATAAATAATAAATTTACAATTCAGTACACATAATAGCAAAATACAAGTTAAGCATTAAAAAAATATAAGACCACAATAGAAACAATAAAACCATTATCTGCTTTGAACTGGATTATATGAGTTTACACTGCTGGATAATCTGGGATAGGCAGATAATCTGGAATCAGATCCTGGGATATACGGCAGTGTAGATCCAGCCTTAATTTAAACAATATATTGTTGCTGTGTAAATGTGTGAAGTAGTATAGAGTGCTTGGCCTTGAGCTGATAATTGATACCCACTAGCTTTGCAAAAGACCTGTCCCTCGTGGAGATGGACATTGCTAGAACTGGTTTGTTGAGATGCCTGTTTTTCTTGCTGTCGTGATGAGCTCATGCATTTCATGATTTGCTGCCCTGCTAGAACTTGTCTGATTCCTGTCATACAGGATGTCCCCCTGGATGCAAAGATTTTAACACACTGATAACAACTAAGCGATTAAGGCCTTTCTGCTCAATTTCATTATAGGTGAGGATCTGGAACCGCACTGAAGAGAGAGCCCAGAAGTTTGCTAACTCTGTTGATGGGCCGGTGCGGGTCTGCTCTTCCGCTCAGGAGGCTGCAAGCGGAGCTGATGTGATTGTTACGGTCACAATGGCAACAAAGCCCATTTTACACGGAGAGTGGGTGAAACCTGGGGCCCATATCAATGGTAAAGTATATGCTGTTGTTGACTCTCCTAGGTGGTTAATAAACTTTGCTAGTGAGCATGGCGTGAACATAAATCCTGTTTGCTTTTGCTTTTAGAATTTATGTTTATGCATCTGAATTGAAGAGAAAGGAAGGAAGGAAGGAAGGAGAACTCAACTAAAGGCTGGATCTACTGCCCTATATCCTGGGATTCGATTCCAAATTATCTTCTTTGAACTGGATTATATGTGTCTACATTGCTTGATAATGTGGAATCAGATCCCGTGATGTTGAGCAGTGTAGATCTGGCTGAAGAGTGGAGGAATCTCAACTATACATGAGGAACAACTCTCTTAGGCTGGATCTGCATTGCAAGATTCTCTGCTTTGAACTGGATTATATGGCAGTGTAGACTCATACAATCTAGTTCAAAGCACACAATCTGCAGCCCCTGCTACAGTGTCATATAAAATCCACATGATATGCTTTGAACTGGATTATACGAGTCTTTGCTGCCATGTAAAACGGTTCAAAGTAGATAATCTGGATTTTATATGGCAATGTAGAAACAGCCATTGATTGTCTGCTTTGAACTGGATTATATGAGTCTATACTGCCATGTCATCCAGTTCAGAGCAGATAATCTGGATTTTATATGGCTGTGTAGAAACAGCCATTGATTGTCTGCTTTGAACTGGATTATATGAGTCTATACTGCCATGTAAAACAGTTCAAAGTAGATAATCTGGATTTTATATGGCAATATAGAAACGGCCGTTGATTGTCTGCTTTGAACTGGATTATATGAGTCTATACTGCCATGTCATCCAGTTCAAAGGAGATAATCTGGATTTTATATGACCTAGGATACCATGGAGCAATGGATTCAAATTGCAGGAAAAATATTCCATCTAAACATTAGAACTTCATGATGGTATGAGCTGTTTAACAGTGGAACTCACTGCCTTAGAATCTGGGGACCACTTCTACAGTGCCATATAAAATTCAGATTATCTGCTTTGAATTAGATTATATAGCAGTGTAGACTCATATAATCCAGTTCAAATTAGATAATCTGGATTATATGTAGAAGGGGCCTAAGTTTGTCTCTTTCTCTGGAGGTTTTCAAGCAGAGGCTGGATGGCCATCTGTCGGGAGTGCTTTGATTGTGTCTTCCTACCTGGCAGAATTGGACTGGACAGCTCTCAGAGTCTATTCCAACTCCAGGATTCTGTGTGCAAAGCTTGGAAAAGTTATATTTTTGTACAAGATGGCCATAACCAGGAGCATCTCTCCACGGCTGTGAGATTCCGGTCCCAAGCATTTTGGACACAAGACTCACTCAGTGGCAGGATGAGATACTCCTCTCTCGTTCAGCTTATGGGTGACCGCATTTAAACCAGGCTTTGGCTGGGTAGTCCTTCAACCTTCAAAGGGAGGTCTGTTTCCTAACAGAGGGCAGCCACACTGTCATTGTGACAGAGGCTGTGTCTAGGCTAAGAGTAAATAGAGCATGAAGGCTGCAGTCTGATCTATGTCTGGTGAGCATTTGGAGTGTGTGTGCGTGTGTGGATGGAATGGAAACCCCCTGCTGCTTCCTCTTTTGCATCTTGTCCACTCTTTTCTTTGGGTAGCCCTGTTCTCTTTCCTTTCTGTTTTGTCTACCAAGTGGACAGGGATTTGTGGAAGTGGGCCAACTGCAGGGATGCCATCCCCGCATTTCACCAGCCCCGCCTGCTGTTCTCTCTGCCATTCCTTCCTTGTCCTTAATCAGTGCTTTGTCTCTATTGAGTCTCTTCTTGTGATGAAGTGTGGCCCGGAGCATCAAGGGACGATTCGTGTCCTCATTCACTGCCATGAAACAGACACAAAAGGCTGCCTCCTTGGTTTTCTCCCTCCCACTTCTTCTCCAGTGAACCTAATGTCATTTGAATAGATTTTTAAGAGAKATTTATTTATTTATTTATTTGCAATATTTATAGCCCACCTTTCTCAGCCATACGGCYACTCAAGGTGGGTTACAGATTGGCACAATTCGATGCCAGGCATTCRTAAAAGTGCCATTAAAAACAATCAACATTACAATATAAAACATATATAAAAACCATTAAAGCATATAATCATCCTGGTTAAAACGTTATCCAATAACATTGTCTGGCCATCCATGTTCAACATTCATAGTTCCGTGTTATCTATTCRGCTGCATTCCCAAAAGCTTACTCAAAGATCCAGGTCATTAGTTTTTTTCCGAAAGTCAGGAGGGAGGGAGTTCCATAGCTGGGGGGCCACCACTGAGAAGGCCCTGTCCTTCATCTCTGCCAATCGCATTTGRGAGGCAGATGGGATTGAGAGCAGGGCCTCCCTGGACGATCTTAAGCTCCTAGATCAGTGGTTCTCACCCTGTGGGTCCTCAGATGTTTTGGCCTTCAACTCCCAGAAATCCTAACAACTGGTAAACTGGCTGGGATTTCTGGGAGTTGTAGGCCAAAACACCTGGGGACCCACAGGTTGAGAACCARTGTCCTAGATGGTTCATAGGAGGAGATATGTTCAGATAGGTAAGCTGYGCTGGAATCGTTTAGGGCTTTATAGGCTAAAGCCAGTACTTTGAATTGTGCTCGGTAGCAATTGACAGCCAGTGGAGCTGATGCAACAGAGGAATATGATAATAATAATAATAATAATAATAATAATAATAATAATAATAATAATGTAATAAACTTTATTTATACCCTGCCACCATCTCCCCGATGGGGACTCGGAGCAGCTTACATGGGGCCTAGCCCGGACAACATATTACATCAAAATAAAACCAGAGCATAAACAATAAACAATTCCATTCTTCTCTATTAGCAAGGCCAAGCAAAAATTGGAAGCTTGATTTATAGTGCTATATTAGGACCCTCTGGTGGTGCAGCAGGTTAAACCGCCAAGCTGCTGAACTTGCTGACCGAAAGGTTGGCGGTTCAAATCTGGGGTATGGGGTCAGCTCCCGCTGTTAGCCCCAGCTTCTATCAACATAGCAGTTTGAAAACATGCAAATGTGAGTAGATCAATAAGTACCGCTTCTGTGAGAAGGTAACGGCACTCCGTGCTGTCATGCTGGCCACGTGACCTTGGAGGCGTCTACGGGCAACGCTGGCTCTTTGGCTTAGAAATGGAGGTGTGCACCATTCCCCAGAGGTGAACATGACTAGACTTAAGTAAAGGTAAAGGTTTCTCCTTGACATTAAGTCTAGTCATGTCCGGCTCTGGAGGGTGGTGCTCATCTCCATTTCTAAGCCGAAGAGATGATGTCCATAGACACCTCCAAGGCTGGTATGACTGCATGGAGCGCTGTTACCTTCCCACTGGAGCAGTACCTATTAATCTACTCACACTTGCATGTTTTCGAATTGCTAGGTTAGCAGAAGCTGGGGCTAACAGCGGGAGCTCACCCCTCTCCCTGGATTCGAACTAGCGACCTTTCAATCAGCTAGTTCAGCAGCTCAGCAGTTTAACCCACTGCCCCACTGGGGGCTCCGACTAGACTTAATGTCAGGGGAAATATTTACCTTTACTTTATCATTCAGATTATCTGTTTTCAACTGGATTATATGAGTCTACACTGCCATATAATCCAGGCCCCTTCTCCACAGCCATATAAAATCCAGATTATCTGCTTTGAACTGGATTATATAAACATTGAAAAAATATTTTAAAATTGGAGTAATAGTAATGCTCTTGATAGCGGAAAGCTCTCCATTCTGTACTTATTACTTTGCTTGGCATTGTTTTTCAGCCGTAGGTGCCAGCAGGCCAGACTGGCGGGAACTGGACAATGATATCATGAAGAATGCTATATTGTACGTGGATTCAAGGGAGGCCGCCCTGCGTGAATCGGGAGACGTTATTTTATCAGAGGTAAGGATTTGGAGTTTGTCTAGTAATGTCTTTTGGAACAAATCATTGCTGAAGGGTCCTAACGTTGCCAGGTTTTCGAACCAATAAAGGGCAATCGCCATTCATGACGTGCAGTGTTGACAATTAGCTATGAAAACATCTGTACCAAAGAAAAGTGTGTATTTCAGTTGACATTGCCAAGTATGTCTATCTGCAATAAATGTCCACATTCCAAAATATAAGATTTGGTGCATTTTGTTCCATTTGTTGACAAGAAGAGGTGTCCCAATCTTTGGATGGGGCTGTCCCTTATAATGAGGGATACTTTGTAGCCCAACAAGGGACACCCAACAAGCCTAATGGGTATTGCTCCAATCCTATCTGCCTAAACTTGTAGACCAAAGTGAGAGGCAGTCTGCTAGGGATGATGTGTGCGAGGGTTTAGGAGGCTGGTTGGTTGTCCTGGACTTATTGCTGAACCTGGACCTCCAGGTGTCAGCAGTGACCAGGTGTTGTGGCTCAGCTAGAGCCTCAGGAAGAAGAAGAAGGGCTCAGGGAAGATGATGGGTTTCAGATTCCTGAACATGTTCTTGTTGTTGATACAGATGCTGTTGATACTGAAGACGAGGAGTTTCAGTTTCCCATGGCAAGGGATGTTTTGGAAGATGTTTCTGATTTTAGTGAAACTTCCCAGGTGCAGGTGGAGGAGGCAAGCTTTCAGCCTAACGATTCTGAGGTGGCCAATTCACAGGCTAATGAGCTATCCGACCTTGAAGGCTCTGCAGATTTAGATAGGGAGAATCGTTTGCAATTCAGGGTTCGCCACAGTGTGAGGTTTGCTAACAAGAGAGAGGTTAGAGGTCAAAGGAATGCATTCGTGCTGGGAAAGTATATTAAACGAGCTGTTTGAAGTCAACTCTTTGTTAGTGTAACTTCTGCAAACACTTCTGGTAACTTCTCTGGATTGCCTGGCTTTTGGCAATGCTCTTGGCTTATTGGGACTTTGTCTTGTTCTGGGCTCCTTGAGACTCTGTCATGCTGCCATGGATTCTTGTTTGATCAATGCCTTTGGATCATGCTTCATGTTGTTTGCCATTGAACTTTGGAAAGTTTGCCTTTGCACTCTGCTTTTGCCATTGAACTTTTGAAACTCTACTTTTATATTAAAGACTTTGTTTTTCTTCAATAAAATACAAAACCTTCAGCTTTGGTGTGGTGTGGTGTTCTGAGCAAGGTGAATCTATCCTGAGCTGCGACACCAGGAACGCCTTTACACGGTTAAAACTTGTGCACCAGCTCCGCCTGTAACTTGAGACACCTGACTTGGCCATGGAAGTCCACACCTTGGTCACATCCCACTCCCATGTTGCGGCGGCTCCACTAGCTGCTGGTCTGCTTCTGAGCTAAATACAAAGTGCTGGTCATTATTTATAAAGCCCTAAACCAGTGGTTCTCAGTCTGTGGGTCTCCAGGTGTTTTGGCCTACATCTCCCAGAAATCCCAGCCAGTTTACCAGCTCTTAGGAGTTGAAGGCCGAAGCATCTGGGGACCCACAGGTTGAGAACCACTGTCCTAAACGGTTCAGGTCCAGTCTATTTGGCTAACCACATCTCCCTATATCACGTTCACTGCAGTCTACAGAGGAGGGTCTGCTCTATCTTTCCTTCCTTCCTTCCCTTTGGTCCAGATCCATCATTGTTTGAGTCCACAGTGATCTCTGGATGTAGGTGAACTACAACTCCAAAACCAAAGGACACTGCCCACCAAACCCTTCCAGTATTTTCTGTTGGTCATGGGAGAACTGTGTGCCAAGTTTGGTTCAATTCCATTGTTGGTGGGGTTCAGAATGCTCTTTGATTGTAGATGAACTATAAATCCCAGCAACTACAACTCCCAAATGACAAAATCATTTTTGTGTGTGTGTGAAGGACATACATTGGATTGTTAGGTGTCTTGTGTCCAAATTTGGTATCAATTTGTCCAGTGCTTTTTGAGTTATGTTAATCCCACAAACTAACATTACATTTTTATTTATATAGATATTTGACACCTTCTGCAGTTTGGTCATTTTAATTGGTCCGGGATATGCTTTGTGCAATCATATTTTACTGTTTTAATCCTTATGACAAAATCAACCCCCCCCCCCAACCCCACCAGTATTCAAATTTGGGCATATGGGCATTTGTGCCAAATTTGGTCCAGTGGATGAAAATACACCCTGCATATCAGATATTGACATTACGATTCATAACAGTAGCAAAATTGCAGTTATGAAGTAGCAACAAAAATAATGTTATGGTGGGGGGGGGGGGTGTCACCACAACATGAGGAACTGTATTAAGTGGTTGCAGCATTAGAAAAGTTGAGAAAGACATCACTATAAGCACTTTGCCACCCACTTCCTTTTTTGGGCACTTCGTCTTACTTCTAAATGTTCAACTGCATTTAGGATCTGAGGGAAAATTTTGTTAGTGAGGATTAATTCTTATTTGGAGGATGCGACCCATGCCTTATTTTGCCCCCCAGTCGATAGGCTCCTGTTGGAATCATGGAAATCGAGGAAAGCAGTCGATGACAGTGCCTTGTCTTTGTCTTACAGGCTGAGATTACTGCAGAGTTGGGTGAGGTCTTGTTGGGAACAAAGCCTGCTCTGCGTGAGAAAACCACCGTGTTCAAGTCCCTGGGTAAGAATAAGCCCCTTTGGCGTGTGAATGGCAGCCCAAGACAATGCGTGCTCATTTATCCCCTTCAGTAGGAACCTGAGCGATTGTCTTCATCCCTGCGAGAGCTCTTTCCTTTCCATATCATAAAAATAGTTGTCTTGTCTTTCCTTCTCAAAATCATAATTAGCACCAGCGGGGAAGCCGAGATGAATGAATGCATTGTCTGCCTGTCTTTCGATGCTGCTTTAACTCTGATCTTCATTGTTTTCCTGACTTGATTAGTCCTCCAACTGAGCCATCAGTGTTTAAACAAAATGCTCAGATGCCACATGGTTGTTACACATTTCATTTCCCCTTCATTGCTTTCTCTAAAAGAGCTCAAACGCTTTTAGGGAAAAGGTGAGTAGACTAGCTTAGGTATCTGATGATGTCCGGGTTAGGGAGAAACCTCAAAAGTATTCATTTTTGAGTTGTGGATTTTAAGAATGGGCCCATTAGAAAATGCAGAAGAATGTGAGTAAACTACAACTCCCATTGTGCTGGGTCAATACCCCAAATTCTGCCAGTTCCTAAAGTTGATCATGATGGGTATGTGTGCCAAGTGTTGTAAAGATCCATTGTTGGTGGGGTTCACAATGCTCCTTGATTGTGGGTGAACTACAACTCCCATCATGCTGGGTCAATATCCTCAAATCTACCAATTCCTAAAGTTGGTCATGGTGGTTATGTGTGTTAAGTGTGCTCCAGATCCCTTGCTGGTAGGGTTCACAATGCTCCTTGATCGTGGGTGAACTACAAGTCTCATCATACCAATACCCTTGAATTCTGCCAGTCACAGCGGGTATGTGTGCCAAGTGTGGTCCATATCCATTGTTGGGGGGGGGGGGGGGTTCACAATGCTCTTTGATTGTGGGTGAACTATAAATCCCATCATGCTGTGTAAATACCTCCCAACCCCACCAATACTTAAAGTTGGTCATATTGAGTATCTTGCCACATTTGGTCCAGATCCATCATTGGTGGACAGTGCAGTTCATATATGGGTGAGCTATAACTCCTATAATCCTCTGTCATTGACCTCCAAACACTGCCAGCTGCAGTAAATTTTGCCAACCAGAAGGTTGACAGTTCAAAGCCTGGGACAGGGTGAGCTCTTGACTTTCAGCCCAGCTCCCTGCCCACCTAGCTGATTGAAATCGAAAACAGCAATGTGAGTAGATAAATAGGGACCGCGTTAAAAGCGGGGAGGTACATCGTCACTGAGATTCCATGAAAAAAGAGGAAGTTTACAAACAAAAGCGCTTTTCGGCAGGGAAGATGGAGTGACAGCACCCCTCTGTGGCCGGAACGGAGCACAGCCTCCAAGATGCCGAAAGATGGGAAAGCCTATATCTACCTATCTATCTATCTATCTATCTATCTATCTATCTATCTATCTATCTATCAATGTCTATCTTGTCATTATATAACCTGCATTAATGTTTGCCGTATATGTGTTCTGTGATCTGCTCTTATTCCCCTTCAGAGTGAGAAGGGCAGAATATACATACTGTAAATAAATAACTTGGGGACTGGCTATATATTACTTGGTCACACCAATGGCTGTGCTATTAATTCTGTGTCTTATTCCAGGCATGGCGATTGAAGATACGGTAGCGGCAAAATTGGTCTTCGATTCCTGGTCAGCTTCCACCTGAAATGAAGATCTGTGACTGTCCTGAACAACAAAGCAATAAAGTAGCATTTGGGGTTGTGCCCCCTCCCCCCAAAAAAACCCCTATCCTCCCATTTAGCTGGATCGTCTTGTTAAAGACTGTGAACGTTGCCATCCTGTACACAGTTAACTGGGAGCACAATGTTGTTCTCAGTGGCATTTACTTCCAAGTAGAGATGCCTATGATTGCAGTACCATTCTTACTATTTGATAGAAAGGGTTTTTTTTAGGATCAAAGAATTATATAGATAAGAGCATTAGCTTTTGTGACATGAATCCTATTGCTTTCCTTGGGTATGCTTCCAACTCTTGACTTACACTTAGTGTGATGTAAATAGATTTTTTGTCTCTTTGGGTAAGCTAATACGAAAGCATTGTGTCTTTATTTGGGGAAAAAAACATAACTGGATAATGTAACTCGTTAAAAACATATTTTCAAGTTTATTCTGGTGGCTTCGATTTCAAATTCAAAGGATTCCAAAGCTTTTTTCGCATCAGTATTCAGTTCATTTGGGTTGAGAGGATACCCCGGTGGCACAACTCTTGTGCCGGCAGGACTGCTGACCAAATGGTTAGCTGTTCATATCTGGGGAGCAGGGTGAGCTCCCATCTGTCAGCTCCAGCTCCTCATGCAGACACATGAGAGAAGTCTCCCACAGGATGGTAAAACATATGGGTGTCCCCTGGGCAATGTCCTTGCAGTCGGCCAATTCTCTCACACCAGAAGCAACTTGTAGTTTCTCAAGTTCTGACACACAAACACACAAACCTGGGCTGAGAAGTCTAGAGAAAAAGTGCACAACACCCTTGCAGATGGCCAGTTCTCTCACACTAGAAGCGACTTGCAGTTTCTCAAGTTGCTCCTGACACACACACCCAAAAAAATTTGGGCTGAGAAGTTCAGAGAAAAAGGTCTGAGAATGTGTAGTGTATTTTGGGATGATGCTATGCCATTAGAGCAGGTATGGGTGAAACCAGGTCCAGGAGCTGAATGCAGTTCCTTGGGCTCTTTTCTCAGGCCTTCCTCTCTCTCACCATCCTATCCTTCCTTCCTTCTCTTTTTTCTTCCTCTTTTGCACCCTCCCTTCCTTCCTTGCCTCCCTCTTTCTCCTTCCCTCCTTCCCTTCTACCCTTTTGTCCTTTCTTCCCTCTTTCCTCCCTCCATCCCTCTCTTTCTACCCTTCCATCCATCCATCCTCTTCCATCCTCTTCCTCCCTCCCTCCCTTCTCATTTTCCTTCCTCCTTCCCTTCCTTCCTTATCTCCCTCTTTCTCCCTCCCTCCTTCCATTGAGGAAAATAGGGAAAACTGACTTTCTGCTGCTCTAGAGACTAGGACACAAGGGAGCAATGGGTTCAAAGGGCAGGGAAAGAGATTGGACTGAAAAAATTAGGAAGAACTTCCTGGAGAGTGGCATAGGCTGCCTTGGAGTGTTGTGGAGTCTCCTTCTTTGGAGGCTTTTCCACAGAGGCTGTCTATTGGGAGTGCTTTGTGCCTTCTTGCATGGCAGGGGGGTTGGACTGGATGGCCCTTGGGAGTCTCTTCCAGTTCTAGGATTCCAAGATTCTATATCAGAAGTAGGTTATACGGGGTCTCATGGATACACTTTTCTTCTCTCATTCACCATCTCATCCCAACCAAGGTCAACCCTTTTGGGATCCAAACATTTCCCATCTTTCTTTCACTTTCTGCCTCCAAAAGAGAAGAGGAATGGGAGGAATGGGCAGGGAGGGACGTTGGGGAGATTCACAACAACCCAGAAAATCCATTCTTTAGCTATGAAACAAATAATGGAGAACAGTTTTTTTCCATCCCTAATTGGAACTTGATGATGGAAAACCTCATTCCTTTTGTGGTGTTATGTTTAAAATTGTATTAACATTAGCAATGGGAGTGTGAAGTCCTTGTTTGCAAGAGGAGGAAGATAGCATTATTCAGGCGATGGCTTGTGCGGTCCCTCATTAGTGTTGCAAGTAACAAGACAACAGTGAAGTCAATGGGAGAAAAGTATAATTTGTAATATAGATCAGCAATTTTTATTAACATTTTAAAAATAAATACACAGTTGAGAGATATATTTCAGAAACTGCAATTATAATGGCAACAAACTACTAGATGGGGGAATTTTGTATGGCAAGTGGAACTACAGTCCATCCTTCACCTTGGTGCATCTGACTTTGGCAAAGTTGGATAGTAATGGATTTGATTAAAATGTGATTTCTAGGAATCTCTGTGTGTTCCAGTGTATTCTTTAGTCAACTTCTGCTGAAGGTTGGTGCTAGAGGACCTAGAGCAGCATTTGTCAACCTGGGGGTCGGGAACCCTAGGGGGGTTACGAGGTGGGGGTCCCTCAAATAGGAGCTCCAGATGCTCCAGAAGCAGCTTCCCCTTTTGCTTTGACTCAGCACTAAGATGTAGTAAATAAATAAATGACCGTATTACGTGGATCTAATGGTCACCTGTTTTTGGTGAGGTCATTTAGCCAAAAAAAGGTGAGCATTAGATTCAAGTAAATAGGGTAATTTTGCAGCAATTTAGGTGAGGAATCCTCATAGGTAGGTTTGCCACTTCCTTCCTCTGAAATGTATAGCCTACGCTACTGGACATTCATTAGTGGTCTTCCATCCAAGTACTAATCAGGGCTGATCCTGTTTAGCCTCCAAGACCAGCCAGGATTTGGTGCCTTTAGGGCAGGCATGGGCAAACCCAGCTTCGGGGGGGGGGGGGGGGGAGATGTGGCCCCTTGGGATCTTTTCTCAGGCCCTCCTTTCTCTCACCATTTTAGCCTATCCTTCCTTCCTTCTCTCTTTCCTTCTTCCTTCCCTCCCTTTACCTCCCTCTTTGACTCTCATTCCTTCCTTCCCTTCTACCCTTTTGTCTTTCCTTCCTTCCCTCTTTCCTCTCTCCTTCCCTTTCTCTATTTCTCCTTCCTTCCATCCTTCACTCCATCCTTCCCTTTTGTTTTTCCTTCCATCTCTCTTTCCTCCCTCCATTATCTTCTTCCCTTTCTTCCTTCTCTTTTTTCTTCCTCCTTTCCTCCTGAGTAATGTTTAGCTGGGAGAAGAGAAGATAGAGAGGGAATATGAGAGCCATGCCGGGTTTCAATGGGTGTCCCATTGAGGAGGAGGAAGGGGAAAACTGACTTTCTGCTGATCTAGAGACCAGGGCACAAGGGAGCAATGGGTTCTAATGGCAGGGAAATAAATTGGACTGAAAAGATTAGGAAGAACTTCCTGGAGAATGGCATGGGATGCCTCGGAGTATGGTGGAGTCTCCTTCTCTGAAGCCTTTTCCGCAGAGGCTATGTTTCAAGATTTAAAAGTGTGTCCCATTGAGGAAAATAGGGAAAACTGACTTTCTGCTGCTCTAGAGACTAGGGCACAAGGGAGCAATGGGTTCAAATGGCAGGGAAAGAGATTGGACTGAAAAGATTAGGAAGAATTTCCTGGAGCGTGGCATATGCTGCCTTGGAGTGTTGTGGAGTCTCCTTCTCTGGAGGCTTTTCCGCAGAGGCTATCTATTGGGAGTGCTTTGGTTGTGCCTCCTTGCATGGCGGGGGTTGGACTGGATGGCTCTTGGGGATCTCTTGTAGCACTGGGATTCTATATCAGGAGTAGGCAATACAGGGTCTAATGGATACACTCTTTTTCTCCTGTCCACCATCTCATCCTGACCTTTCCTGTCTTTCTTTCACTTTCGGCCTCTGAAAGAGAAGAGGAAAAGGAGGAAGGGGCAGGGAGGGGAACTGGGGAGAACCCCTTCCCTCCTGGCCCACCTATGCCACTCCGGCCTGCCATGTGGCCCCAAACTTAGAAAGTTTCCCCTTGAGTGCTTTCCGGTATTTAGACTACACAGAGCTCATTGTTAGTTTCTGAAGCTGCTTCTGCTAAGTAGCCCCATAATGCCAAATTCATCCTGAGAAAAAATCCTACTCTTCTTTTTCTCTCTGAAAGATGACTGCCAGATGGAGTGGACTAAGTAGTTAGCACTCTTTACTATTTATAACTGAGTATCTCCAACTTTGCCAGGACTCTCCAGCGCCTGCTTTCTCCTGCTAATGGCGTGGAGGATTTTCTTCCTTGGACCCAGCTGCATCTGTATGCTTTTCAGGTCTTCATCCAAGCAAAGCATAAGGGTTTCTAAATCGATGTTCTCTCTCATCAGGATGGGAAGGAATTCATCCAAGCTCTGCGCTGCCAGGAAGACCTCAAGCGGGGTGGTCTCCACTTTGCCATCATCCCATCCAATTTCCTCCTCAGCCCAAGATTCGTTGGGATCAGTCTCTACGTCCGCATCGTCTGCATCCTCAGGCTCTTCGAAGGAAAGAAGGCCATTTGGTATTTTGAAACGAACATCTTCTTTCTTAATTAATTTATGATCAGCATTTCTCCCCATAGAAAAGTCTAAGTTGCCAAGACCAGGGCGATTGAAAATAGACCTAGATCCTCGCTCTTCTTCTTCTTCACCATCGGAAATGCTGGTTTTTCTGTTAAATTCCTTAGTTAGTTGGTCTTCTTCTTCTTCATTGAATACATCCATTACGGCAGTTCGCCCAGCTCCAACGTCCTTCTCCAATCCACTTCCTCCTTCTTCTTGATTGTCCACATCCTCCCCTTTCTTCTTGGGCCTCTGCTTGAATGTATCTGAGAGATACTTGGGCAATGCGCTTAGCGAGCGGGGACTAAAGATACCAGTCACCTTTGGCCTTGTGGCCGTTCCCCCTGCTAAATGCATGGACCCTTTGTCAAAATTCCTGTTCATCTGATGTTCATGTTTTTCTTGACGTCTCTCGCATTTACTGATATGTCGTTCGACATCCCGCGGGGCCTGAGCCTTCAGTCTGGAGACTCGTTTGGGGTTCTTGATAGTCTGCTCGGTGGCAGCGTTGTCGAGAATCCGGACACATTCGTAATGGCACCTGCTGGCAGCCACATCGAGGGGGGAACGCATGTCATTATCCAAGGCGAAGATGTTTGCGCCAAAAGTGATTAAGAAGGAAACGCAATGGACATGGCCATTGGCGGCTGCGAGGTGAAGAGGGGTGTTCCCCCAAATGTCACACTTATCTGGATCACCTCTGGAAAAAAAAGAACATAAAGGACTCAAACACTAGCATTCTTTTGAAACATGTAAAAATCAGTTGGTGTGTGTTAACTGAAAATGCAAAGCATGAAGCGGATTGGTTGGGCTATGCCGGGGAGTTGAGCCTGGGAGTTTTGGCAACAGTTACATATTTAGATTTAGATTTGCTGTGCAGGAGTTTACAGAGACAGATTTGCTTTGTGGCTGCTGAAAGAAGATCTCTCACATGGACACAGAAAGGACCATTTTGAATCTCTCTAAAAGGACACTGTGTGAGTCAATGCAACTGATCAAATCACTGGACATATGTTGTTCTGCATTACAAAGAGTAAATGTCTTGTTCTTTATTGATCATCTGAGTAGCATATCTTTTTTCTGGCAAGACTGCAGACTGGTCAAACATGAACTATGCATGATTTTCATTCCGCCACACGTTCAACTCAAACACAGGTACTTGGGACCTGACCCATCCAGGCAACGGAACCAGGGTAGAATGCCAATGCGGCAGAGTGGATTGTACAGGCAGTCCCCAAGTTACAAACAAGATAGGCTCAGTTGCTGTGTTCTTAAGTGGAATTTGTATGTAAGTTGGAACCTGTACCTTTTTCAAGTGTAACTCCAGTCATATATACACACACACATATATACATACACAGTAGAGTCTCGCTTATCCGACATAAACAGGCCGGCAGAACGTTGGATAAGCGAAAATGTTGGATAAAAAGGAGGGATTAAGGAAAAGCCTTTTAAACGTCAAATTACATTATGGCTTTACCAATTAAGCACCAAAACTTTATGTTTTACAACAAATCAACAGGAAAAGCAGTTCGATACAAGGCAACGTTATGTAGTAATTCCTGTATTTACGAATTTAGCACCAAAACATCGCAGTGTATTGAAACAGCTGTGGATCCAGGCTGAAGGCAGACTGCGTTGGATAATACAGAATGTTGGATGAGCAAAGGCTGGATAAGCGAGACTCTACTGTGTGTGTGTGTGTATATATATATATATATATATATACATACACACACACACAAACACATACATATATATACACATACACACACACACATACAACTAGCTTTGGGTAGCACAAGGAGGTGTTAACACCCAAGATGGTGTTTGTTTTCCTGTCTGTGCCCCTGTTCTGAAGATTTCACCTCACTTTCCATCCCTGCGATGATTGGATTTTGAAACTTTGTGGAAACGAAGATTGATGATAAAATTTAGTTGGGACCCCTTTCCTCCATGGTAATAACTCTTTCAGGAGTGAATTTCCCTTCCAAAGGGTAGATTTCTCTCATTTACCGTTGTCTCAGCCCTGTTCTTAACTATGAGTCAACGTGATGATAAATAGGAATAGTAGTAATAAGGCCACCCTGGTGGCGCAGTGGGTTAAACCGCTGAGCTGCTGAATTGCTGACTGAAAGATCAGTGCTTCAAATCCGGGAAGTGGGGTGAGCTCCACTGTTAGCCCCAGCTTCTGCCAACCTAGCAGTTCAAAAACATGCAAATGTGAGTAGATCAATAGGTACCATTTTGGCAGGAAAGTAACGGCGCTCCATGCAGTCATGCTGGCCACATGACCTAGGAGGTGTCTACAGACAACGCCGGCTCTTTGGCTTAGAAATGGAGATGAGCACCACCCCCCAGAGTCGGACACGACTAGACTTAATGTCAGGGGAAACCTTTACCTAGCAATAATGGAGACACCATTGATCTGTGATTGAGTTACATCATCTCAGGTTGAGACTGATATTTCCTCAGAGTGAGGAAGCAGACTTAATTTTCCCTCCTCTCTTAGCTATATCTATTAAACTGTGTTCATTTTGATCACTGGAGAATATGACTGTAATATTACGGAAAGCAACTGCGCTGTTTAAAGGTCACATTTATTGGCTGTAAACTATGGCATATAAAACCGCATGCCACACCTAAAAGCTAGAAACAAAGCAATATATTTATTTTATGTTTACCTGAAGTCCAAATGGTTTTCACCATATTACTTTTAGTATTGCCCAAAGGCCAGTGATGGAAAATAACAAATGAAAAGTGATTAAAACTAGAAATTTTATCGTGAAAGCAGGAAATTTAATTTAATTTATTTACATTCAGTCAGCCTTTTGTACGTATGGATTAGTATCCAGGGATATTGCCACTCTGGGTTTGAAAATATATATTTTTAAAAATTCAAGAAGCAAAGTTTGATTTTGCCATTTTATCTCAAGGACACTATTTTATTATGCAATTGTATATAATAGGACTTTGGTATTTTCCATGGGGAGTCCTGGAACTAAACCCCAGTGGATACTATTAGATTATTAGTATTGTATAGCCAATTGTACTA